ATATAACGCTCATTTACAATGCAGGAGTAATTTTGGATCCGTGTTCCAGAGTCTATGTTAATTTCCTAAAAATTGCTAGGGTTGATATTAATAGCCTAGTAGATGTGCTAGAAAGAAGCAAAATTGAAATGGGTTATTGCAATTGTAAAATAAATAAAGGGGGGGTGCTGAGTTATCTTACAAGGTATGTGATCTAACTCACTGTGCCCAAGCAGAAGGGACATGGGGGCTCTGTAAAATCTGAAAAGTATATTAAGAAGGGGTTGGAAAAATCTTCTGGGGGGGTGAAACTGCATGAAATCCCCACATTGTTGGCATTGCCTTCAGCTTTCTTGCTGGGGCGGTGGACATGTCACCAGCAATGCAGGTCAATCCATCAATGTCAACACTAAGGAAGGAGCAAGGTGTTCACACAAGCTGAGGAGACTCACCACCCAGGCTGAGCTCCATTGGAAAGCAGGGAGCATTCTACCTAAAGGAAGGCTATTCTCTGGACCTAGAAATTCACTCTATGACTCCAGAGAAAGTATCCTACAGATTGTTCTAAGCTTGGTAACTCCATCAATAATGTTTCTTCAGATCCTTGGGTGATCAACATGAAAATGCTGGTTACCAATGGCTGCACCATATTGCCTTTAGGTTTGCAAGCTGTTTTTCTGCTCATTTGAGAGAACCATGGATTCTTGTTTTCTTACAACCTCAATCTCAGAACAAATTGAGAGGCATGTGTTTCTTTTCAAAGAAAGTGTTTCTTTTCTTTTTCAAAGAACTAAGTGGAATTCTTCAGTCTCTGAAAATGTAATCTCCAGGATCTTTTTCACACTTAATGCAATGCTACATTTTTCTGTATTAGTAGTTAAAGGCTAAAAAATGTCCTGAGATTACCTGAGAGCTTAGTGTGAGCATAAGCCAATTTTATACATTTGTAGAATCTAGCTTTAAAATTGCCGAGTTAGGGAATGTTAGTGATTAATAGTTTCCCAATCTAAAATTTAAATTTGTTGGTGCTGTCAACAGAACCCCATGACTTGCTTCTAATTAACAGAATATGGCAAAGTAATGGGAAGTCACCTCTTTCATTATGTTACATTATAGAAGGCTGTCTTGCTAGCAGACATACTCTAGGGTCTCTTCCTTCATTTCTGGTTTCGAAAAAGCAAGCTTCCAAGGCTCCCACAATCATAAGAAAATGAATTCTGCAAACAACTATAGAGAGTTGGAGGTGGATCCTTCCCCAGTCAAGCTAGCAGATGAGACCCCAGCCCTGGCTGACACTTTGCAGCCTTTTGGAGAAACCAGTAAGACCATGCCCAGACTCTTGACCCACAGAAACTGGGATATAATAAATGCATGTTGTTTTAAGCTTCTAATTGTGTGGTAATTTGTTATGCAGCAATAAAAGAAAATACTGATTTTGGTACTAGATGTGCAGCACTGCTGTCATAAATACCCAAGTATGTGGGAGTGGTTTTGGAACCCCCACGTAACAGGTGCAGGCTGGAAAAATTATGAGTATAACAGAAGGAAAAGAAAGCTGAAAATGTATAACTTCTCTGATAATATATAATTTTATAAAAATGAATAAGCACTTAATGCTGGGGAGAGAGAAACATGAAGACACTAGGTTTAGATTAAAACTGTGAATATGGGGATCCCTGAGTGGCGCAGCGGTTTGGCGCCTGCCTTTGGCCCAGGGCGCGATTCTGGAGACCCCGGATCGAGTCCCACGTTGGGCTCCCGGTGCATGGAGCCTGCTTCTCCCTCTGCCTGTGTCTCTGCCTCTCTCTCTCTCTCTCTCTGTGTGTGACTATCATAAAATAAGTAAAAATTTTAAAAAAACTGTGAATATGAAAAAAAACTGAATATGGACAGCACAGTGACTATAGTTAACACAATATTGCATATTTGACAGTTGCTACAACAGTAAAATCTTAAAAGTTCACATCACAAGAAAAAAATTCTGTCACTATGTACAGTGATGGATGTTAACTACTTACATTTCACAATATATATAAACACTGAAGCATTAGGCTGTATACCTGAAACCAACATGTTATATGTCATTTATACTTCAATAAAAAAAAAGTACACACGGGTACAACTTGATGGATATAAACTAAACAGATTGGGTACAGTCAACCTTGGGAGGCTCCTGACCATTTTCATGTCAAAAAAGTGTTAATTTTTCTCCATTTAAAAAAATTCTCAAATTAAAAATATTTAATTCCAGTATAGTTAACATACAGTGTTAGTTTCAGCTGTACAATATAGTGATTCCACAATTCTATACATTACTCAGTGCTCATCATGTTACGTGAACTCTTAATCCACTTCACCTATTTCACCCATCCCCTCACCCATCTCCGTTCCGGTAACCACCAGTTTACCAGTTTAGTTTGTTCTCAATAGTTAAGAGTCTGGTTTTTTTTTGGTTTCTTTTTTTCTTTGTTAATTTCTTAAATTCCAAACATGCATGAAATCATACGGTATTTTTCTCTGATTTATTTCACTTAGCATTCTACTCTCTAACTCCATCTATGTTGCTGCAAATGGCAAGAATTCATTCTTTTTTTTATGGCTGAGTATTGTTTTATTATATATGTTATATTCCATTACATATAATTCCAATATATTCAATATATACATATGCACACATACCACATATTTATCCATTCATCTATCAATGGATACTTGGGCTGATTCCATAATTTGGCTATTACAAGTAATCCTGCAATAATCATAGAGGTGCATATATACTTTCAAATTAGTGTTTTTGTATTTTTGGGTAAATATCCAGTAATGTGATTACTGAGTCATAGGGTAGTTCTAATTTTTTTTGAGGACACTCCATACTGTTTTCCACAGTGGCTGCCCCAGTTTGCATTCCCACCAAGTGCATGAGGGCTCCTTTTTCTCCATATTCTTGCCAATACCTGTTGTTTCTTGTGTTGTTTCAGCCATTCTGACAGGTGTGCGGTAATATCTCATTGTAGTTTTGATTTGCATTTCCCTAATGATGCATGATGTTGAACATCTTTTCATGTGTCTGTTGGCCATCTGTTTTTCTTTTTTTTAGATTTTATTTATTTATTTATTTACTTATTTATTTATTTATGATGATGATGATGAGAGAGAGAAAGAGAGAGAGAGAGAGAGAGAGAGAGAGAGAGAGAGAGAGGCAGAGACACAGGCAGAGGGAGAAGCAGGCTTCATGCCAGGAGCCCGATGTGGGACTCGATCCCGGGACTCCAGGATCGCACCCTGGGGCGAAGGCAGGTGCTAAACCGCTGAGCCACCCAGGGATCCCCTCATCTGTAAGTCTTTAGAGAAGTGTCTGTTTGTATCTTCTGCCCATTTTCAAATTGGACTTTTGGGGTTTTTTTTGGTGTTGATTTGTATCATTTCTTTACATATTTCAAATACTAGGCCTTTTTCAGTTATGTCATTTAAAATATTTTCTCCCCATGAGTAGGCTGTGTTTTGGTTTTATCGATGGTTTCTTTCCCTATGCAGCTTTTTATTTTGACGTAGTCCCAATAGTTATTTTTGCTTTTTTGTTTCTCTTGCCTTAGGAGACATCTAGAAAAATGTTGCTACAGCCGATATCAGAGAGATTACTGCCTGTGCTCTCTTTTGGGTTTTTATGGTTTCCCACATTTAGGTCTTTAATCCATTTTGAGTTTATTTTTGTTCATGGTCTCAACACATTTTTTTTTTGATTGGCTTCAAACACAAAATGATTCTTCAGTACCTAAAATGAATATATAGTACTGATAGAACAGCAGATATCTTCTTCACAGATAAATGATAAGAATTTGTTCCCCCTACTGAGACCAAGATGTATGGTGAAATCTAATAATTCTCTGGAAAAAAATTTGTTTTTAAAATTAAGAGTTAAAAAAAAATCACAAGTTAGGTAAAGTGTGACATGGTGAATGCCAGCAAGTGCATTTAGGTGTCAGATTGGCCTGAAGGAGTTTGATGTCGATGAGCGGTGGGAACACACTGCATGGGTCCTTGTAGAATGCACCGGCTAATCTGTTCAGCTACGGAGCTGATGTGAGAGAGAGAGGTGTCTCTCTGGAAGATTAAAAGCACCCAGAAACACTGGGTTTATAGAACTTTTCTTAATAAAAAATCCTAACTTTGAAAGTGAGATTCTGTGGTAACCAGTTGTAATTTTTAAGGTCTTCCTAGGGAACCAAACATTTATGTGTATGTATTGTTTCCCATCTCTGATACCTTGAAGGGTCCATACACTCTGTCACCATAGACACATTTTTGTCCTGTAAAAAGACAAGCTCTATCCAATGCAGATAATGAAGTCTTTGATGTCTTGACAATGCTACCTCTTGGCTAAACACATACAATACTGAAATTATTACACATAGAGAATTAGAGTTTTAAATGCATTTACCATTTTTATTTCGCTATGCAGAAACATACATTCACCATGGGCTGTGTGATGCAGTTGACAGTGTAATGGAGAATATATCTTTTTGAAGGCTATTTATAACTAAACACTAAATAGTTTAATTACAGTGGAAATTCTGTACAATTTAAGGCTTGGCTCTTAACTAGATTGTAAATATGGACCAGATTAAAAATAAAACACTTTTTTTTTCAAGTAAAAGAAGAAAAATCAACTTAAAAACACAAGGAAAAAGAAAAGAAGAAAGAAAACAAAGCAACAGAAGCCCAACAGATTTTTCTGGAGTGAAATTTCATAATATTGTAAGCCAACAAAAACAGGTTTCTTCCCCCAAATAATGACAATTTACATATTTAGGACTTGTTAGGGAACTCTTGGAAGCTTTCCAGGTTGGACGCAGACCAAAGCGAACAAGGAAGAAATCACATTAATATGCTAAAATCAGTACTACCTTATAACGAATTAAATCAGATACACAAAGCAGGATTGTAAGCATTAAATATTTCCAGAGAAATCGAGAGTCGTTGCTGTTTACGAGTGAGAGTAATAAAACCAGGTGAAACAAGTACAAGATTCAAGTTGTTTACTGAATAAACTTGGGTTATTGGCACATCTAATCTGGGATAAACCTGACACATCGGACCTAGACAGCTTCTAGCATTTTAGGGTAATCTTCATTTGTCTGTAAACAAAAGATCTGTCACCTAAGAAATTGTGGTTTTGTTTAGACTTTAATAATAAACTATGAAAGGCATGAATTGTTTATGTGTTACATGAGATCACGGTTTATATTGTTGGTTATGAACGTGCAGATATAGCTGAAAACTTAGACACTTGGTGGAAATTAAAAATGCTACTCTTTTGTAATTTTATCGTTGCTTCATGCAATATCAGTTTCGTGATGCTGATTCGGATTGTTTTATTATGGGAAGATCTTTCTGCCAGTGTCTTTATTAATGGTCAAGGTCAGTTCTTCTGGATTGAAATTTTCCATGGGCAGATAGATACAAGTCAGTTGGGTTAGAAGAGGGAACTCCATATAGGCTCTGGTTTTCCTAATGGTTTGCATGACTGGATTCATGTGCAGGCTAAATTATTCCTGTAGAAAAGAGATTTGATTGGTTACTCAGTGGAAAACACCTGAGAGTTTTCCTCAGACTAAGGCCACACAAAAAAAGTATCTTGCAGGTTATCAAATGAACTTTTTGACAAGATACTGTAAAATACCAGCATAAGTCACTGATATGCATTCTTACGTAACTACATTAGCCAAGCAGCTGAAGCTCACCGAAGAAACCTTTTATTGCTATCTTCCAAATTATATTATTAAGTTGAGCATAATTAGTGACTTTTGTATTTTTTAGAGTCCACTATTCAATCTATATTCCCTAAATCAATGTTAGAGAACTTCCTTATTTCATTTATATGTGTAAAGCTTTTATGAGACTTTAATCACATAATCACATGTGCAAGTAGCTCAACTGTTGCATTCAGCATTCAAAGCCCTCTGGGGATGCTGGGTGGCTGTGAGTTCTCGCACGGCAGGGGAGTGTGCAAAACAAGTCTGTGCGCACTACAGAAGATGCTCATGATGCCAGCCAAACAGCCCTTGAAAAGGCATGCACACACTTTCCAGAGAAAAGCTGTAATACAAGACTGCATTTTTGCCTCCTCCTGAGACAAGACGCTATACAAAGAGGAAAAAAAAATCATCCCAAAGAATACAGAAAATATAAGACAACCAAAATGAAAGTGAGTGTCCAGGTTTGGAAACAAAGCAAAATGAGAGTGTAATCAGAAGCATAACCAAATACAGTCGCAAAGGAAGCTTACAATGAATGGGATAATGCTGTCGTCAAAAGGACAAATGGGCACACTTTATTTCCCCAGTACTTGGCATACACGAATTGTGCCTTTTAGGACAAAATGGCCTTAGTTCTGATTAGGGCACATGGCAAGTGAAATCAAATCTGACCCTCTGAATTTGGATAATGAAGGGTACAGGGCATGAGTGAAAAGGAAACATCAGCGAGACCATGCAAGCAAAGACTGCTTCTTTCTTGAGCCTTTAACTGGTGAATATGCCAAAATCCACAGTATGGAACCCCCAGATCTGAAACAAACCAGCACCCACAAAGCAATTTTCTGTCCCCTTGCTGAGCAGCCCTGCTGATGCCAGTGAGAGAAGAAGGAAGAGGAGGTGGCAGGGGAAGGACAGAGGGAAGTGCCCCATGCTACATGCCAGCCAAGGCCAAGCCTAGAGAATCAGTGTCGCCTCTTACCTGGGGTCAATCCTCTCCATCTTCCGGTGTGATCTCTGTCTCTTTATGGACCACTACTTTGGTCACTGACATGTCAGGGTGCTGCTCTTTGGCCTCTTTAATTGCCTGAGCCAGCGCCTATCCCCAGGAAATCACAGAAGGGCAAAGACAAAAAGGAGGTGGAACATGCATGATCAGTAGCAAGGTGGAGACTTATGAGCTAGATTTATATATGTAATTTACAAATGAGGTACAAGGACCGCAAAAGGAGTTGTACATTGCATATTGAAAATTCAATTCAGAAAACTGTTCAGACCGCATGATGGACTAGAAGAACAACACTGGGAAGAGTAGGGCTGACCAGTGTATGTCTGTTCCTCTGCCAGGGTATTTACGGCCTCATGCACACTACCTGGTCATGGTCGATGTCCGCATCTCCTGTGATGACTATCCGCTTCTCAATTCTCGTCTCGGAGATGCCTCCTTTCACAGTCTGCAAGGGACAGACAAGTGTTACAAACTGACCCGCTTGGAGGAACAATCATCATTCAGTGGGGGAAATGGCAGAAAATGCTAGCAGAGCTTTAACTGACAGCATTCGATAAGAAATGAATTCGTTGAAACACTTCTTTGGCAATTACTCAAAATCATTAATTCCAGAAGCGAAGCTAGAATAGAGTCCTTCGGGCGTGGCTGGCCCGTGTTTCTGGAACTCCTACCACATGCTGAGGACTGGAGTTCCGTGTTAGGCAAGCAAAGGGTGTCAGGATGCATACCCCTAAACAGAAAGGAGCGTGTAAGAGCACACACCCCGTAAGCAGAGTGGGCCTGAAAGCTCCAAGGCGCCTATCTGGGCGTCCTGATATTCACTAAACTCTTCGTCTGTGCGGCCCAACTGGGATGGTCTCTTCCCAGTCCACTTACTTTGGTGATGTGGGTGGTGGTCGTGGTACTGGTGGTTTCAGACGTGATCGTCTGCGCGCTCATTAGCACGCCTGGTTCCAAATCTGCACCAGCGTCAACCTATGAAAGCAGGGAACAGACACTGCACTCAGATCCCTACGTCACTTAGGTCAGGGCATCACGATGATTCAGTTACCTACCCCCATAGCCGCGTTGTCCAATCAGCACATGGGAGCCATGGCCTTGGGGACAGGCTCGCCCAAACACAGCCAAGGTTAATCATCTTTAAAAACTGGGCCTTGCGAAATAGGAGTAGTGTCTGCTCGAGCTACCTCATAGCCTCATAGACGAGGCTTCCTCATCTATGGCTGGGGAAATAGGTCCCTGAGCCTCGTTCTACCTCTTGAGATATACGAAGACCAGTGTAAGTCACCTGATGCTTCGTCAGCAGTAATAAAGTTATAATTATTACCATTATCACTCTTGACAGACACAGTTTGGCTGCTGTGTCCTCTGAGTCTCACGAATTAAATGTCATGGGGTCAAACTTTAATGCAGTGAGCCACAGAGAGGGGCAAAGTGCCAGGGCTTTGACCTTCATGCACAGTCTTACCTGTGACGATTCATACGTTATCGTTTTTGTTTCTGTGTGAACTACCGGCACTTCCTTGGTAGAAATTTCTAGCTTTACTCCTCCTGGTGAAACACTGCCAAAACTGAGGCTCTCTGTCTTCACGGTTGATGACTGTACCAATGGGAAGCAGGTAGAGTGGCTATTTAATAGTTTGCACAAAGACATGATTTTGGCTTTTTCCTCCCCTCTTGGTGGGTATGTATGAGTACAGGTTAGTATGTAGTAAATGGTTAGGTGTAACGTGGGGAGGGTTAGTTGAGGAATGTCTTTCAGAATTCCAGAGAGTTTTTCACATGGGATGTTCCAGGTAAAGGAAAGCATTTTGAAGGAAATGTTTAAAAAACTATTTTTTATGTTGCCTTTTCTGTCTTGCCTAATAGATCAAAAATAATCAATTCGCCTTTTATTTAATAACTTCTTAGAAAGAAGGAACAGATTTTAAGACATTAGCCACCCCTCACTCCATATACTTTAGGAATCTCAGTAAAAGAGATAAAGAACAAAGTTCTGGCATTTGGTACCTGGGCGAGCATGGTTTTTGGGCCTTCTGGATAAGTATCCTGATCAAAAATAAATTTATCTAATTTTCTACTATCTTGGCTGGCCACACATTCCCCAGGTTTACTGCCAATAATTACAGTGAAGGTAGAAACCATTTCCTGGAACCACACATAATTAATAATCATTAAATACATTTGCATGTGAACCCAAAGATGGAAACCAGCATGGAGGCCCTGTCGCCGTGCAAGAGGGGGAATAAGAGGAGAAACAAATTGCACTTGGAAAAGGTAGAAAATTAAACTTAGTTCCACCTTTACGCTTAACGAGATTTTGGGGAGTCATATGTCAGTTTTATGTTGGTGCTGAAAGTAACGTCAACTACTAGTTACCTCAAAATGAGGTTTCTGTTCCCGAGTTTCAGGAACGTGGATTGTTGTACTCTGCTCCTCCTCTGGCTCGTGGGAAGCAGTAGCTGTCTCTTCCTGTTCGAGGACAGCTTTATCGGCCACCTGCCCCTTCTCCTCCTTAGCCCCCTCCGGCAGAGCAGAGCCCTCCTTCCCTTTCAAGCCAGAAGCATCAGCAGATGCTGCCTGTGTCGCAGCATCCATGTCATCTCCAGCCACGTAAGAAGCATCCCCACTCGCATGCACATTCATCACATGTCTTTCCTCCACCAGCACGGTTTCCTGCACAACCTTCTCGGTGCTAAGTGGCTGGGGGCTCGGTGCTAAGTGGCTTGTTTCTGTCTCCGTCTTGCTGGACTCCGTCTTGGTTTCTGTTTTCTGCATGGGAGAGGATTGGGGTGTCAGTGTGGCTTTCCATACACCAAAGGTCACAAAGCCAAAATAAAAACAAAAGCAGCCACTCACCAGGACACCTAAAGCCAGTGTCAAGTGCTTATAATCAGAAACGCTTACAGAAAATATAAATTAGCTTTCATTCCTCCCACCAGAATCTCGGAGGCGCGTCCTCTGCCCCAACACACACACACACACACACACACACACACACACACACACACACACACACACAAGCCTGTGCTGCTATGTCGGGATATCTGCAGATGAAACAGGATGCGGCATAAAACGCAAAGAAAACAAAACAAAATGAAAGCACTGTAGCATTTTCCCAGATTCTGGCAGCTTTCTGAGACCTAATGGATGACATAAGATGCTTAAAAAATTAAATGCTATTAAGATTTTTCAACATGACTGCTTTTTGAATATCTGAAGTATGTTCTAGTGATGCAAATAAAGGCATATCACAGCTATGCCAAGCAGGCACAAAGGAAAACACCTGAAGATACCTCTCAGGTGTTTAAGGCCTTAAAGCCACTTGGATGCAAAACATGCATGCACACACACGTGCACACACACCAAAGAGGCATAAAGAAAGGCAAATAGGCAGAGTCAGGAACACCAAAGAGGGAGCAATTGGCCACCTGAACCCAGCTTTGAGAAGTAGAAGTAACCCCTCCTATGAATTCTGTTGGTTTCCTTGCAGACTCTAACAAACTGAAGATTTCAGAGCCATCCATGAGCTTTTCAGAAGACGACTGTTTAGTCTGAGTGAACAAAGAAACGGACAGTCAAACACAGAGACAGGAACAGACGGGTATAGTCACATTCACAGCTGCTTAGACAAAACTGTATGGGAGGAAGGCGGGAGGAGGCAGGAGGGAATCTACCATACAGATTTTGGAAACAGAAAAGAATGGGAAATAAAATAGCAACTTGAGGTGACCATGAGCTCTGGTTTGGTAAAGCAGAGAGAGTTATTAGGATGTGGGTGGTGCCGGCATAAGCAGGTCATTTCCCCTTCATTGCAAGCCCCAGGCAGCACTACCACATCTCGGGATCGGGGAGCTGGAAATAAAACGGAAAGTGTTTTTAATGCTTACACTGGACTGCGCTATCCATCTAACCATGAAAAAAAATGAAAAAGCTAGGGTTGGTGGCTCTCAACATAAAGCCAAATAGCGAGAGGAACAGAAAAGTTTAGGGTGGAAGGGCACTGCCTCAAAAAAAGGTCATGCTGGACTCTGACACGGTGGCCCAAACGAAAGGCACTGGTTACCACAACTCGGGACGTGGCCGACTCGGTAACGTAATGAGCAGTGGCCACGGTGACAGCCGGTTCCTGGGAGTATCTCCACTCAGACAGGCTCTTCCTCCTGGGACCAAAGAGCCCCACTTTCAAGACCTCGCCCTCCGCTGGCTCCATCCTGGCGAGACGCGTGCTGTCCAGGCCCGCGAGGGGCCCCGTGGCCCGGCCCGACCCTGGGGCTTTCTGCACATCTTCTTCCTCAGGGCTGGGCCGCCGGGACTCGGCTTCCCTGATGGGAGCCAGGGATTCGGACAGTTTCCGTTTGGGGGTGTGGACCTCGGGTGCTCTTTTGGGCTTCTCATCAGGGGCGGCGTCCAGGACCTCGAAATCGGCCGTGGGTGGAAAGCCTTTCATGGGCTCCGCCAAGCCTCTCTCTGTTTTCTGGAAGGCTTCTGGACTGCAGGGCGGCATCCCCTTCTCCCCCTCCTTGGCTTTCCCAGTCATGGTAACGATCTTTCCCGATACGGTGTCGTAGGACTTTCCTAGAGTGTATATTTTCTGTTTGCTTTCTCCTTTCAACTGCATTTCCCGGGCCCAGTCATCGAAGCTCTGCATTTCAATGGCACCGGATCTTAACAGATCGGCGGGGATGTCACCGGTTCTACTGCTCACCGTCACGACCTTGTAAGTCACAATCTTTTTCGAATCACCATCAACTACCTCAGTGGGTACTTTGTCTACAATAACCCAATCCTCTGTGCCCTATATTTGAAATATAAAAGCTAAATTAGACATTCTGATGGTCTCATTTCTAAAATAAGAATCATCTAAGAAAACCAGGGCAAAAGCTACACTGTGATGTGACTGCACGGGGCTGGTGTTAATATCTAAGAATTATGCTTGCAAATCTCTTCCTGTCTGTAATTTATAAACTCTGACATTCTACTTGGCATACAGTCTGCACGTGGAGCTGCCATTTCAGATTTCTTGAAACAGGACCCTACCTTGGTGGTAAAGTTTTGCAAGAATATATTTGACCTTATGCTAAACTCTCTGATCATTTTAGATTTCAAGATTAAATGACGTGACTGAAGTTGTTGTACAAGTCATGTAGCTTGTATTGACACAAAAAGACGGTTCCTGGGTAACTGTAATACCACACTTCACTTCTTATCTGCTGTTTTCACAAAGAACTTGCCAGCATCCATCCCATTAAGTTTCTGTGAATAAATACCATTTTTCATGTTTGTAAATCAGACTTCCTTAAATAGGATGATCAAATGCACTACAGCACTTACTATCCAATAAACAGTGAGTGTGCCTATAATCCAGGCCCTGCAGGGAAGTGCCTCCTACGGCTGGGGCATTGTTGGAGACTCTTAGAAATAGGTCATGGTGGTCTGTATCGTGTTCCAATCTTATAAGTGAAGTTCATTGTCTGAGCAGTTTTTTTTTGCCACTTTCCTTAGTCTTACTTCCAATATAGCAGAAGAAATCAAAGTTAAGAAAGTTCTATTTGAGAAGGCTAAAAGGCTGAGACCAGGCAGCGGACTAGTCTAACAGATCACGGAGGGAAGACAAATCAAAACCAGGGGCAGATGAGCACCTTGATTTACATTTTAAACTACAGTGTTTTTCTACTTTCATATTTATCTTGGTCTAAGCATTTGAATCTAGAAACATGTGCGCCTTAAGAACAAACGTTAGAGAGCAGTCTACACGCTGGTGCTGGATTAAATGAAATGAACTGAAAAATAACCTCTAAGGTCGATGGGACAGTTTTCTGGAAAATGATTTGATGAGAGGTAACCACAGAGGCCGCAGAATCTCCTTCCTGCATTTTCTTTATCAGACTCGGCTAGTAGGAAAACCAATAAAAGTTCAGAACTTTCACAATCAGTCAAGGTCATCTAAATTAGTACCACTCTATAGGGAAAGCAGAGAGTAAAGAGTCCAATAATATTGTTAGAAAGCATAATCATCGTGGTTCAATGACCATACACAGATATAATCACCAAGGAGCAAGAGCCATAAAGGAATGATGGCTAACTGGTAACTAAAATAGTAATAAAGCTCCCTCTTCCCCTCCCCAGAATCTAAGCAAAAATGAAATACCTACCTTATTCGGAAGCAAGATAAAATTACAAAAGAAAATAAAAACTAAAGACATTTTCATGACACTGAAATCTGAAGAGCGATTCCCTTCTGGGAAATTCCTTTATGTTTGTTTTTTACCTGAGACTCAAGGAATGGAGAGCTTCCTTGCTGCAAAAATATAACTTTTTCAGAAATTTCTCTTTCTTCATTGGTCTGTTTGAATAAAGGGGGTTGGGTTGGAGAGGAGGAAGCAGACAGTTTCCAGAAAAGGCAAGTTAGGAAGACAGTTCTTTTACTGTGTCTTACATATAATAGTCATTCATCTTTTTCTGAAGAAGTAAATGATTGTTTATGAATTTGAAAAATGGTCCGAAACTTTCTCAACGTTTAATCATTTCCCCAAAGTAACAGATTATTTCCTGAAGCTCCAGTGTTTGACTCACACCTTTGCCACTTCTACCAACAGAAAACATGCAAGAGCAATAGAAAGAGCTCCCTGACATTAGCACAGTGTCTAGGCTAGTCATCTGCAAAACTGGAGAAGTGAGTAGTAAAAGAAGTTGTTAAGATTAAAAAAAATTAAGTGAGAAAAAGATCCTCACTCCTACATTTGACAAATAGTTGATTGCATTCCCTGCTGAAGCGCTGGCTTAATCCCGGGCAAGGAGATGCACAAGGGCCATTGCATCAGCTACTGGTTTGAGTAAACTCAGTTGGACCTTGATTGATTCCTTTATTATTCCACAAGGTATATTCAAAATTTATAGCTTTATTTGAACTTTTATTAAGATGGCAAATAACTTTAAAAAAGTCAATTTCAAAATATCTTAGTGAAAAATTAAGTGCTTCAAATCATGCCTTAACATGTACCATTAAGAAACGTTGAAGTAAATAAATATGACACATTAGCAACTAGCTTCTTCCTTTTATCTTTTTATTATTTCCTTTAGTATTAAATAGGAATAATTCAAGGGGCCATATACTAGCCACTAAGCCGATCCCTGTGCCGAGAGTATAGCTCCATAGAGTAATGACAGAAAGGGTTATTTCATCTAAAAAATCCTAATAGCTCAAAGTTTAAAAAAAAAAAAAAGAAAGCTCAAAGTTTCTAGAACAGAGCTTTTAAAATAAGTTCTATTGTAAACAATGTAATTTACTGAGAGTTATTTACTATTCCTATGTGTGTACAAATCAATCAGGACGACCTCTAATAGTCTACCTATAAGAGTTTGTAAGGGGACATCTAGAATATTCCCCCTGAAGGTCTTACTGGCAAATTTTGATAACATCAATCTCCTATCCCCCTTTTTCAGTTAGGAACAAGAAAGATATTTCTGAAGGGTAAAAAGCAACAACCCTGTCCTGTCCCATTTTGGAGCAAGGTGTTGGAAAGACAAAATGTACCATGTGGGATCATTAAATATGGATTTTTGTTTTGTTTTGTTTTACTCTCAAATGTGGCCTTTTTGTCACAGAGGAATAAGAAACAGGAAGGAAAGGTCAAAATTGTAGGTACTTTTCAGAATACCACTGGTAGGCCTCTAATTATAATCACTGAGCTAAAGATTATTCCTAGGATGAAAGTCTAAAAAAAACAAAAACAAAAACAAAAAACAAAAAAACAAACCAATAGCAGGAAAAGTGTTTTTTGTTTTTGTTTTTTTTTTGCATATCCTGTTATCTGACATCAAGTAATTTCAAAATTGTCTTTGTCTATAATGAAAGTACCAACACTGTTTGTATTCCGAACTGTGTATGTCCAGTGCGAGAAAAGGGTCACATAAGGGATAGAGCTTAAAATCCTATAGTCAACCTCAGTGCAGTTAGTTTAGCTAAAGATAAGTGATGAGATGCTGATAACTAAAGAAAAGCTGATAATCGGTATGTTTACTTTTGTTGCAGGTTAGAACAGAGTCAGCTGTATACCCCTAAACACTTTTAGTGACTTAAACATTCATTGCTATGTCATAATTAGGAAACAAGGCCCTTACTGACCTGCAAATGTACAGAGGTATTACTCTCTCTCAGAGGAGCAGGGATTTGTGCAGAGCCATGGCCCTTGTTTCTCCTTGGGCCAGGGGTTCTCAAGCTGCACTGTGCATTAGAATTACGTGGAGAGCTTTTAAATAACAGTACTCTGTGGGGCTGCAGATCAGACTAATTAAATCAGTCTCTGATTAATAGATCCCAGGCATCAGTATTTTTAAACTTCTGGTAGATAATTTTAGTATGCACCTAGAGTCGCACCCCAAGGCTTGGATGGAAAGTCACAGAAGTCAGATTCGGAGAATGAAGAGAACTCTCCCTATCCAGAAAGAGATGATCATGGTGAATGTTTTTTTCCCCCCTAATTCGAGGCCCAGGCAAGATCTGCCTATCAAGAGTAGAGCTGGACTAGAAAGCATACAAATGCACAAATAGAGTTGATTCCAGATATTCATGGTAATTATGTTCAATAGAATCACCATGAACATGAGTTTGTGAATAATGAACCATTGATTTTATGGGAAACATATGGTTAAGGCCTCTGTGAGCCTCTGGTCATGGTATTGTCATCAACTGTTCAATACCTACCCTTGTTCTGTATGTGTTTTTGTTTAAAGACTCCTTATTTAATACATATTACTTATCCGTTAACATTGAACTCATGGCCAGCAGCACTATGACTTATTCCTGATGAGACTTCTCTAACATATCTTCCCAAAAAGCATATCACAGTGCTCTTGCGCTGAGCAACACTAGCTAGCACTTCGGCACTCTGTGTGTGGGTTATTTGAAACAGCAGAATCACCCATGGACACACAAAACCATAGCACTAAATAGGCACAAAAAGCACATGTGTTCATAGTACGGGGACTCAACAGGAAGGCAGAGCACTGCCTTGTTCAACCAAAGCTGGGAACGTGCACGGTTGAGACTCAAAGTTTTCCCCACTCTGTGTCTGTCTGTGGACAACTGTGAAAGTGCCATTAATACTGAGTTTAGGGTTACAGTGAATTTCAGCGAGTAGATGAATGTGCAAATATGGAATCTGTGATGGAAGAAGATCAGCTGTGCTAAGCTTATGTACTGTAAAACTACCACCTATGTTAAAAAAGAGGATGATACTGACACTGTACAAGTGCTAGTGGGTATTTCATTTTGGTTGGGATTTGGAAACTTTACCTATTCAAGTGACCAGGAGGGAATGTACTTCTAACATGGACTAATAAGCCTAGGTGGATCGTAAAAGCCTGTTGTGGGAAATATTTGTGGAGACATACGCGGAGCCCTTCACGTACCACACATCTATCCTTCCTGTTTGGTGGGCCCTGCCCTGTATGTGGATTTGTCTATGCTCCAAAGTTAATGAGGAGATGTTTTGGGGCATCCTTGCAACTTATGTGCTATTAAATCACTATTTGAAAGTTGAAACCACTGGCAATAAAATTCACACTTTATAGTAAACATACATAGTATTTTTAGAATATAATCACCACTACCAGCTACTGTAGATTACTCAAGTAATCTGAATGAAACTGATGTGCATCAGTACAGGAATATTTTGGCAACAGTACTTTTCATTTATTCTGCATAAAAGGGCCCCTTTCAAAGTAATTCAAATGGATATACACCTTGTCACTTTTGATGGATAGCTTTTAAGGGAAGTTTAGAAAATGATCAAAATGAGTGTAAGTAGATTTTTTTTTTTTTCACTACAAGGACCTAAGCATTGCATGTAGACGACCACTTAACGGATTTTTCTCCCATAGAGGCTGAAGTTTTTATTTTCTTCTGTCTCAGCTTTCTGGACAACGATGTTACAATAAAGGGAACTTGATAATAAAGAAGTTAATCAGTATAATGCTAGAAAGATCCGTTTATTAAAAAACTAGTTCTTTTGAAAGACAGATAAAGCAAGAGGATGTTGAATAGTTGACAGATGGGCACCACTGCCATTTGTGGGTCCCACAGTGGGAGCCCTGAAATAGTATCAGCTGAATCCTCACTGTCTGGCTGTACATTTCAAGAGAGCTTTTCAATATGGAACAGTCTTACTTGAAGAGACATTCCGGCCTCTACTTTATTAAAAATCAAAAACTGATTATAAATCGGTTAAAATAACCAGTTGCTTCTATTTTAAAAAATCAGTTAAAAATCAAAATCAAATCAAACGCTAGTTCTACCAGTAAAAAACACTGGTTTCTCAGAGTGAAACATAACCTGAAATTCTGTCAACTTCAGATCAGTGTTTAGTCAAACATTAGACAATCTCTCTACGCCTCATCTTGCAACTGATGAGAAACATTCGTGGGTTTTCAGGGCATTTCTGAATGCGGCAGAAAAACCGTTTTCAGAAAAAGTGTCAGTTCATTAAGACAATATCTCCATTTCTCCCAGCTGTGAAATCTAGGTTTGTGGTTAGAATAAACCAATTTGCATGCACTGTAGTTTCCCTGGGCCTCCTTGTTCACTCCCAGCACCCTGTGATGTGTCTGCTCATCCCTCACCCGCCACATCATTTTACTCTGCAGCTTTGCTTTGGAGGCCTAAGTATGTGAGTTCAGGTTATACGCAGACAGGCGGCAAGACGGTCTACTCAGAAGCTTGCCAACTGCGTTCCCCAGGGGCAGGCCTTGTAGAGGAGTGATGCTAGTGAACAGAAGATGATGGCAACCCAATGCCCGAATACCGACCTCTTCAGGTACAAGTGGTTCGATCATGGGCGCGTCCTCCTGCCTGGCGGCTAGTCGCACTGGGGAAGTAGAAAGCCTCTTTTCCCATTCATTCGTGATGGCAGTGTCTGTGGAGGTTTCTAAAAAGGTTCTTTTCAGCTCACTAATATTGGTTTGGTGTTTCATCAGGTCATCTTGAGTTTTATCTAGCTCCTATATTCAGAACATAAAGAATCCAACAGTCAATGTTTTACATTTGCCTTCCTATCTGCGTTTTTTTTTTTTTTTTTCTAAAGTAATGTCAATCTCATTAGTACTCAAAATAAAAGGAATCTGATCAGGGCTCATGACACTACTACAAGCACTTTGGTGAAAATGTGATATTTCTAAGGAAGAGAGAAGAAAAAAAATCTAGTTCACACAAGCAGAAAAATCAAAAGAGTTTTTAAAGGCAAACTATAGAGTGTAATTCACATGTAACAAGAAATTAAAACAAATACAGGAAAAAGGATCTATATCTAGGAGAAGGAAGGAATCAGAAAGGAATCAAAGTAGGCTAAGAAGGTATCCCCACTTATTCACAGGTGAGAGCACACAGTTCATGCACCATCGTATGAGCCCACAGGTATGCCACTAACAGAAATGCCAACACACACAAACATGCACTGGTATATACCAATACCAACCTCTAACATAAGATTACTATGTTTGACATACACATTTTCACCCTTTATTCGCTTAATCAGACTATTCTGAAAAAAGTGGAGAAGAAAGGGAAAGGTAAGGGACACAGTAGTCACGGGAACAAATGCCATCCTCCACACTGCACCGACAACACGGGTAACCGCCTACGGAGCATGCTGGAAGGCTGGGACACCGTAGACGAACAATGACTTATCACACACTGGTTTTGGTTTTTGTTTTATTTTTAATTTTCTACCTGTGCCTTGAGCTCTGCATCTTCCTCCTGGTCCGACTGCCAGCATCAAGAAAGAGTGGGAAATAAAGTCTTACCATGTAATTGACTCTATGATCGAAGAACTATGCTCTATAGAAACTTGCACTAGTTTGCTCTTGTTTGAATATGGATGTCATTTCTTTCCTATATGCAAGCCACCACATTCTCACACATAAATTACGATGCTTATGAAGAAGACAGGGGTAAAAGATTCCCTGCTCGGTGAGTCTCTGACACTTTAACCTGGAGACTTCTAAGTGCCGATGAGCACACACACATACGTGGGAGGGGACAGCCAGCACTTGGCAGGCCGGCCTTAATGAACACTAGAAATGGTTCAGGAAGTGTGGGGAGCCACACCCAAACTACAATCCACAAGAGTGGTTATGATTACCCAATAATGAGGGCTCCCTTAGGATCTGTAAGTCTTTATAACCCTATGAGGTTATAGCTATTATCCCCAATTTATAGGTCAGAGAACCGAGGCTCAAAGAATTTAACATAGAGGGTCCCACATTTAAGAATTTCTTGGAACCTTGAATTAGAACCTATAGACTTAGAAATAAATTTGGGAAGGGAGGAGGTTGATATAAGTTAAGAAAGTTAAAAAAAAAAAAAAAAGGATCAACTACCATCAACATTACCAGCATTTCTTTAAAATGTAGACAGGATCACTGTTGAGTTTTTAAAAAATACAACAGATTTATCTAAAAGCCACTTCATTATATTTGTTTTTCTAATTTCAAGGATCTGTTTAGCCCTTGGACTGGTATCTGAGTACCACCAACTAGGTAACTAGGCCAAGCCTCATTTGCAGGCAGTAGTAAAGCTGCATGTCTTGCCAGGGGTACTCGGACCCAGGTCCACAGAGGAGGATCACAGTGTAATTACAGGTGAGAAGAGGGAGACACCTGAGCAGGTGGCCTGCAACCAATTAGTCTTTCTTGGCCCCAGCACATTTCACCTGGCACTACTATGGTCCTGGCTCCCGAGAGGAGAGAAGGGCAAGTATTTAAAAAGTGTGAGAGTGCACAGGTAACTCTAACTCTGGCAACACACTAATTCTTAAGTGTGTGGTGCGCTCACAGCTCTTTTATTTTTAAGCTTCATAATTACCTATGTTGCATGTACACGTTTGCATGCTTCAAACATTATATAGCGTCCTTTAAAACTGGTATAGAAATTTAGAGTATTATTAAAATATTCTGCATTTACAGCACACATTAAGATTCTGATGAAGCTTACTGAATTAACGTGTAGCTACATGTAACTATTAATTGTTATAAAATCAAGATGTGGGATCCCTGGGTGGCGCAGCGGTTTGGCGCCTGCCTTTGGCCCAGGGCGCGATCCTGGAGACCCAGGATCGAATCCCATATCGGGCTCCCGGTGCATGGAGCCTGCTTCTCCCTCTGCCTGTGTCTCTGCCTCTCTCTCTCTCTCTGTGACTATCATAAAATAAAAAAATAAAAAAAAAATTAAACTTGATTTAAAAAAAATCAAGATGTAATTTTGTTATAATCTGGCACAGAAAATTATTAACTTGTAATAAATTTATATGTAATTGCTTAAAAGAATCTGGATAGTTGTTTTATGATATTATTTTTTAGAATTTCTTTTTAAGTACTTTCTATGCCCAATGCAAGGCTTGAACTCACAACCCCAAGATCAGGAGTCAGAGTGGCATGTTCTACTGACTGAGCCAGCCAGGTGCCCCTACAATATTATTACGACTAACATATATATTTTTTCAATGAAAAATTGTGATTTCCAGACTTTGAATTGTACTCTGGTATTTCCCAAGGATGAAATTCAATAAAATTCCATTTTAAAAAGTATTTCTGGAGATATTTTCAATTAAGTATTATACAGATACTATTTACATTTTTAGTTCTGAATGTCTTACTAGAAGACTGTTCTAACTGGATGATGTAAAAAACAACTTAGAGTAAATACTATCACAAAGTAAAAAACAAATTCTGTGAGGACTTTAGGAATGTCTTGACTTCCATTACCATAGATACAGTTTTTACTGAAATTTTAGCTATCGGTAGAGAATATTTGAAAAACAACATAGGCGCACACGTTTATTTATCCTTATTAAGGATAAATGATAGCATAGTATTTTTCCTATCACTGTTCAATGTGATAGCATTTTTTTTTAAATAGAGTACTAATTTGCTAATTTTTTCTTCCTTAGAGAATTCATTTCTTTTGAGTGACCTAGGTTATGTTCATCCAGTCTACAAACAGGAGTTAAAAGATGTATTATTATTTTAATTATTATTTGGGATCTAAAATATATCTAGTAAATAAGCTAATTAAATTGTGACCCTCCTCTTCACTTATCACGGCTATTATACATAAACAGCTTCTCATTTGGGAAAGGGGAATATGTATGTATTTTTAAGTATTATTGGTTTAGCCAAAGGTTCTCAAGATGTGATCCTAACATCCCTGGGAACTTGCTAGAAATGCACATTCTGGAGTCCCATCCCAGACCTTCTTTTGCAGGAGAAATAGGAGGAAGGGACTCTGCAGAGGATTCTGAGGTACGCCAGAATTTGAGAACCCCTGGCCTAGGCAATAGAATATATTTCTTGCCTCCTTTCAGAGTTAGAATTGATCTCTACTCTATCGAAGCTAATCTTCAAAGGCCCTGAATGCAGAGCCATGCTCATGAGGTGCTTGCGCTGGGCTGGCGACTAGCCGCCCGCAGTGATGGTACCAACCTCAGTAGCAGTGGTTTCCCCGTCGGCCGCGGTGTCCGTGCGCTCACTGTCGGTCTATTGATCACAGGAGTGACCAGGGTCCAGGAGGAAGGCAGGAATAAAAAACAAACCCATTCGGTCAAATAGGGCATGGCACAGGTCAAACAGCTCACTCTCTTTGTGATCTGTATCCTACTACCTTCCCACATGAATGCCAGGTTCAAGCAAAAGCAAAAGAAAGGCCAGAGCTAGGTTTCATCAGCAGAGCCACTCGGAGGAAGACCAGAGGCATGCAGCCTGCAGGAACCGCAGGAACTGCATTAGCCAAGCTGACTTGTCTGATTTCACGTCTCAGGAAAACCAAATTGTCATTCTTTCCCCCCACTTTTAACTAAAACCCCGAGAATGGTCTCTTAAAAATGTTTAATGCAAATAAAATTGATGTTTATATCTGTTTTTCTACTAATAAGTCACATTTGAAAGGTAAATTTAAATAAATTAAATTTAAATTAAAATGTAAATTTAAATAAAAAGCTACTATAACAGTCACTGGACTTTCAGCCCCTCATTTATATCATGTTGATAATTTACACTCATGTATGACCATCAGGCTGTCTGCATTACCTATTGATTATAAAAAGCACATGCCAGTGACTCACAGGCATATGTTTTACATGTGAAAAATATAACTCAGTTTTCAAGTAGCAACGTTAACTAGATTTGTTATAGACTAACTGTTGTATTTATTTTGCCCCACCCTCCAATATAAAGAAGTTTATAAAGGAAGTATTTAAACATCTCTTTCCAAAACAACCAAATGAAGCAAATTATAATAATAAAAAAATAGAGAAAGAGAGACATCTACTTGTAAACAAATAAAACAAAGCACAGCATTTGACAGAGCCTAAGTTTTTAAGGGAGAATTATAATAGTAATTTCAGGACTGGTTTTTAAGCTGTTTCATCGAGGTTTATGGTTTAAAACAAACTATTTTCTTTGGAGTACAACAGAACCATTGCCATTGAAAGTGGGACATTTGAATGCCATAATGTAATATTAACTGACTTTCCCTTCACAAATGTCAACTAATCATTACTAAAATTCCCTTGAGCAAAGGCACGCGATAAGTATTTTGAAAACAAAAATAAAAACTGGGGGCTGTAAGCATGTGAACCTGCCTCTTCAAATAATCTTTCAATCCTAACAAGGAATGTCAAGAAGGACAACTGGTTCATATCAACCTAACTCTGGCTGGGCTGATTTCTTGGTGCTATTCCAAATTTCCATTTTATATATTCCTAAAAGAGAATACATTAAAATTCACGTTTGGCATGTGTGCCTGAGGTGGCCAGCTATTTTCAATGGTTTGGTAAAGAATGCGTCCTGACACATTTTCATGACCTGACAGCCTTGGCAATACACCTGGTCGGGGGGAGGGGTGACTATTTCATTTTCTTATGAGGGTGTTAGCATGGCTTTCCCAACTAGTAGCCTAGGGAAAGGCCAATTTGACATAGGGGGAGAGAGACAAGTTATTGTTAAGGTATATGATAACCCAAAGAAACCTTATGCTTTCAAGAATAAATAGGAATGATCAGTGCTTGGCATACTAACTAGTTTTGTGAAAAACTTCCAAGGTGCTTGAAAGTATTTCTCCTCCTACATAATCACCCGTATGGTTTTAAAAACTATTAAAGCATTCTGGCTTTAGATCACAGTCGTGGTTGAGAGTGAGAGCTCTGATCTCAGACTAACATGAGCTCAAATCCTTGCTATTGAAGTTTCTGACACACTGGGCATGTTTCATGCTTTAATCCTCATTTCCTTTCAGTAAAATGGAGAAAAAGCAACAGCCCTAACGGTATCAGGTAATGGGACACTAAGTGCTTTCTATAAGGCCTGATGCATGCAGACCTGAAAGTGCCTATAACTGTAATATGTTACATTAATATATATTAGTATCACATTATAATATTACATAATTATTTTTTTTTGCTACATGAAAAAATAGCTTAGGCCATATCTTAACTCCCTTAAATTCTTACTGAGCATGTAGTTATTTAACAAATATAGTGCATGATCAATAAATCGTTGATAAATGAAGAAAGGCTGAATAAAGTAGCTTTTATAGCAACTGTTCTTTATATACTACAAGTAAACAAAACTATGAAATGTCTAACATGTCACAGACTATCATATGAGTCTATATTTTCACAACTTAAAATGTTAAAAATTGGTTGATTCATTTTTTTCCCTCCAAATTCGAATCTTTTTTGTATCACAAAAAAATTCCTTACGAGCTGACACACAAATACATTCTATGGTATGGGGAGCTAAATTCAGCTTATGTTTCTTGATAAATGATTTAACATTCTGTGCCCCTTATGTGACCATTCTTGAAGGTACAAAGGAAAAAAAAAAGAGTGGTCAACAGCTTTCTAGTTTGAAATGATTATGTCTTTCTACGTTGGGTTTCACTCTTGAGAAAGGCTGGAGCTAATTAAGCTACTCCAACACGTGAGAAATGTAAACATTGATAAAATATTTGAAAAGAATTACATTCATTAGTGGTTTTGCAAAATGAATGTGACAGAGCTGAACCGTATGTTACACGAAGTCACTCCGTGTAGCTGCCAAAGTGCTTGAGGCCCAGAGAATAAAACAGGCCATGTAAACAAATGGCTTTTTTTTTTTTTTTTAAATGGAATGACCTACATAGGAGTGCTCCAGCTTGGCCTGAACTAGAGACAATAGCTCTTAACACTTGGGTTAAGAGACGACATAGAACAGATGGCCACACGTGAAGTCTTGTGTCGGGAGAGCTGTCGTAGGTGCTCCGGGCTGGAGAGCAGGGCTAAGACCCCAGAGGCCCGAGCTGGCTCAGAGGTTTGCAGTAACAGCGAGAGTGATCTGCTGGGAGGCTCCAGTCACGTGTCACTGGCTTGCATCGGGGAACTGCTGTGATTTGTTTTGCTGATGTAATGCAGACATGCCCAAGTTTGACATTAATTTTCATGCATTGATTACAACAAGATGTATACCCTGGATTAGGCACAAGATCTGTGTGGTTTGCTATAGAAAAGTTCCGTTATTTTAGAATTCAGAAAAGCATAGAATGGCAATCTTTTTGCTTTACGTTAGCTGGACAACTCCACTGCTAAAGGGAAAATAGGTGTCCAGGCTGGAAACCAGCTAATATTACAGTCTCTGTCGATAATCTTGTGTTCTTAATGTTGTATGTTCTAGTCCTATGTTATTTGGCAATATTGCCACTGTGAGAAATAGTGATATTGAAGCCTAGGAGTCATTCTCTCAAAATACTTAACGTGTATGAAAATATTTTTACATCAAATACACATATATGCATATATAGCTGGAGCTAAGTCATACGACCCAGGAACCTTGATTTGAAAGGGCTCTTATGCAATATCAAATGGAAAAGGGCAAACTTTTATTTAAAACATCTAGGAGACCATTCCCATTTTTGTCCTGCTACTGAGAAATGGTCATAATATCACTAAATATAGATACTTACACACCCTCACAATTCTATATACTGACAGGTGCAGCTCAAATTATGAGTTCTGGCTGAGCTGAAAATTGAATAGACTTTTTCTTTTTTTTTTTTTGCATTGCTGTGACTTTGTGACTTTTTTTTTTCTAAATGTTGGGATTACTGGGCCTGTCTCCTGCCACAAAACATCTTGCTTTGTGAGAACAGAAGAGCTGGAAGGGCCTGGGGAGGGTGTGGGCAGGAGAGGGGGTGACAGCCAGGCCCTCTGTTGGCAGCTTCTGTTCTCTTCCCCTGCACTCTGAAGGGAACTGCCAGGCTGTTCACAGAGCTGTGGAGTGATGGGAGGGCAGGGCCGTTAGGAGGAAAAGCTACTGGCTACCATGTCAACTCACTCACTGGCTCAGATGAGGGACAGGAGATGGATAGGTAGCAAGCATGTCTTTCTCAGACACAAGCCCATCCCTTCCCCACTGGGCGCATGCCTGGCTGAGAGCCACAGGGGCCTGTCTGGCTTCCCTGACCTTCCCAGATTGTCCATGTGTGCGTGCGTGTGTGCATGCATGTGTGTGTGTGTGTGTTTTCTGGCTCAGGCTGGAGTTGAAAGAATCACTGCCATCTAGTATATGTGTTGGCACAGTTAGGACTGATGGACTTCCAGCCTACTTTTACAGCATGCAGACATCTTCAAGGAGTCTTTTCTCAATCGTGTGGGAAAACTGCAGCTACTTTGGTCTTCTTTGTGGCCCTTCTGACAACTAAGGTCACACAGGCCTTTTAAACTACTTGAGCATTTTCTGACCCAACACACCATTGGGATCTGGCTCACCTTTGTGAGTAACAGAGACAGTCTGGCCATGACAACAGAAGAGCACAGTGGGGGACATTTTGGAATTTCTGGGGGGGACAGGTGTTTATAGTTGGGGGAAGCTACCCAAATGATGACGACACACCTCCTACAGATGTTCATTCCCACCTCGCCTTGAGGATCATTTACCTACTGGTATCACCACCATGTACCGTTATGCCAGGATGCCTTTTGGGAACACCCCATAAATCTGGGTCAAACTTATTTCTCGGTCTTATGTGTCCCTTCCTTTATGAAACAGTAACTGACCAGAACCATTTAACCTAACCCCAATTTTAACATAGCTAATGGGTTATTTAAAACTGACTTCTGAGTCGTACATTCATCACTTGTAGAATCTGTGGGTAGCAGAAGGATTCTGGGCTGGGCGCAGACTGCTCCATCCACATGGTGTTGTGCCTAACCCTGGGGCCGGGTTGTACTCCCCGACACACAAAAACCTCTCACATGTCGGCACAGACAATAAATGAGGCTCTGAAAGTAGGACCACTATTGCAGTAGGCACCTAACAACTGTTTCGGACCGAAGCCCCGACCACGACAGGGAAGTGTGTTCTATGCCGAGGTACACACCTCTTCCTCTGAACTGTCACTCGGGTCATTGTCTAGTGAGGCACTCAAGGAGGCCGCCTTGGGCTCCAGGTAGCAGAGGCACATAGCCAGAGGGAAGGAGAGAGTGAGGGCATATGGCACTGAGAAGGAGGCGGAGAGCAGAAAGAAAAAGATGAAGAGGAAACAGGGCACAAGGGAGGGTGAGCGAATCGGGAGATAATGCTGCAGGCTCTGGGGGAGGAGGTTGGTTTCCGACAGGTTGGGGAAAGAGAGGTACCCATCATCATCTAGAAGAGAAGGGAAGGACTCCGGGAGCTGCAAGGAGAAGGAAAACAGGGTGGTCCCTTTGCCAGGCTGTGGCTTGTAGCTAAAAGCCACATCTTGGTCCCCTAGGGATGGCTTCCCTTTGTGGTCAGAGTCCAAGGCGGGCTCTCCATGCACACGCACGGTGCCTTTGGCTGGTTCCAAACCCAGGGGGTGACAGTCATTCTCCTTACACCTCCTACGGAGCTCGGGGGAGGATGCAGGGGGACGATGGGCTGATGGAGGGGACGGGGGACATGAGTCAGTGCCAAGCCCAGGTGACTGATGTGAAAGAGACAGAGAGAGAAAGCAGCAAACAGAGGTGCAAAAGGACAAAAAGAAAACTGCAATTAGTTAATTTTCTTATGGGTATCAATATAAAATTGTAAAACAAGAATTTTTTTAGCACTAGGGCTGTTCACGTACTTAAATTATTCAAGCTGCATGCCAACACTGCCATGAATGGCTACTGTTTTCCCATTAGACTGTCAAATACAGGGTGGGCTATTTGTTTGTTTGTTTGTTTATTTTTAAAGTCAGAATAGAAGATACTGGTGGGCAATCTCAAAGTCTACATGTTTCACACCATCCAAAAAAATTTGTTTAGACCAAACAACTCTAGAAAGTTTTAGGGTTCCGAGAGCAAACATAACTCTCCGACAACTTCTAATCAAGACTTTCAATAACGTCTCTTGATCTCCAGCTAACAGATCTGTTACTAGAGTTTGGTTGGATTAAAAAACAAAAATGAATCCAAATTTTGATTATTAAAAAACATGTGTTTAGCATTATCTTTCCTTGCTTAGTCAATTATATTCAAAACAGGTGGGTTTCCAAATCAAGAGGTTTCTGGCCCCACTCCTATCTGAGATGCAGTGCCACTCAGGGAAGTCAGCAATTAGTATTTTAGGAACTCATGCTCCCCAAAGAATTGAGGTTCCTTTGAAAACTTCTACTTTGGCTCCTTTCTCCATGATGTAAACAGACTTAAACTCAAATAAGGGTTTCAACAAGCTCACTAGCAAAAAGAATGTGCTTTCTTGTGATATGGCCCGTAAGCATTTACTTTGCATTAGTTGTGATCCATAAATAACAGAAAGGTACAATTTCCCTGCCTTCTGTTTTTTTTAAAAGTTGTCCCTATATTTAACTCCCCTGGTTCGAATCCTTAGCAGAATGACAAAGGCAGGCACCCCCACAAAGGTGCTCCTGGTGAGTTCAGGCTTCTGTGAGGAAGGGGAAGCTCTGTGCATTCTCTCTGGCCTTGGCAGCTGTGACCACAGCCAGTTTCCTCTGCAGTTGGTGGAGGGCTGCTGGGCAGGAGGGGAAAGAGGGAAGCAAGCAAGCTCCAAACAGGACCTGGCATGACTCAGGAGCTGTGGCAGCCCCAGGAGTTCAATTCAAGGTCACACAGAGCCTGCAGATAGACTTCCATCGCTCTCCGTGACACTCTGGGTGTGTGTGTGTGTGTACGCACACACATGCATACATGTGTGGTTAGCCTAGAGACCTGGTAGTGTAGAAATTACCCATCCTGCTCTGTAAATCCCAATCCTGACCTGGTAAATATAAAGACAGAAGGTAAGAACATGCATAGATGAAACTACATCATGGATATTCTAGAATTTAGAAGACTCTTTTCCGGTCTTAGGCAAGGATGTCTTTTCTCAATACTGGCATTTGACATTAAGCACTGGGTTTTAAACATGGCCCTGCACAAATCCCATTCAACTCAGAATAATCTAAAAGCTACAAGCTGACTTCTGCATGCAGCTGCCCAGTCACCTGGGGTGATCATTAGCCTGGGAAACATGCCTCCTCTCAAAGGAATCTAGGGGACCAGTCTTTTAAGAACTATTTTCAGTAATACACTTTCATTTGGGTTAAAAAATGAGTACCCTCTTTGTTACTTTTTGAAGATGGAGAAGAATAAAATGAAGGTTTAATTTTCCATGCTGCTTATTCAAGTGGTTTTTAAAAGATAGCTTTGCACTGTGGAAAATGAAGACAACCATCTCCCTACCTAAGCACTAGGCCTGGGCCACAGCCTTGCTGAAGGCATTTGGGTCAAAGTACTGGCTTCTCAGAGATTCAGACAATGAAAATCATAGTTTTTAGTCTTTTTGTTTTCCCATGCCATTAAGTGGAAAAAATGATGATGGTCTAGTGCTTTATTTTATTAAGATTTTTAAAAACTTATTCATGAGAGACACAGAGAGAGAGAGGCAGAGACACAGGCAGAGGGAGAAGCAGGTTCCACGCAGGGAACCCGATGCAGGACTCGATCTCGGGACTCTGGGATCATGCCCTGAGCCAAAGGCAGACGCTCAACCGCTGAGCCACCCAGGCATCCTTAGTGCTATATTTTATATACATGGTGAACTTTTCAAATTAAATAGAGACTGCAAGGGTCTATTTTTCAAGCAAAAAGTCATTTCCTTTCATGTGTTGCTTTAATCACACTCACAATCTATGAGAATTGTAGGATGGAATGGGTGATTTCAGGAAGTCAGGGAAATCATTTGCTTTTCAGGCATACTACCTTTTTCTTATGTCCTACTCAAAAGCTGCCTTGATTTAATTGGAAAAACTAGAGTGTAAAAACAAAATTCAGAACAAAGCACGTTTTAACAGCAAAAATGATCCAATATAGTTGCTGTCATTTCCTATCTTGTTCTTTATTTTTGTGTTTGGCAAAGAAATGATCTTATCCTAACAAAATGACAGATAGGGTTTTAGGTGGAATATTCTCACATACCTACAATATGTTGTGGGTCTATCCTTCACTGTGTAACTCTTATCAAAAGAAGCAATTTTGTTTTGAGCCCCAGGTGAGTCCCTGCTGCATAAATCTATATTTGAAGAGCACATGTTCAAGAGAACTCTTTTGAGTCAAACCTGGGCAAGTTTTAGCATAACTTACGAGTTATACAACATTTTTATCCTGCTAGTTCTTTTTACCTGTACATTCCAGGAGCTACTCTGTTTTCCCATTATCATCACATATAAAACTCCCAATATAGTTTTTTGTTTGTTTGTTTTGTTTTCTGTTTTACTTTTAGGGAGCTGCTCTGCTACCTATAAAACCCTGAACCAGAAGTAGGCTGTCTATGTGTTTTCTGACTTCCATTTTTCTGCAAAGTTGCTTTAGGGTGCCAGATTACCAAAAAATAAACATACTGCAAAAAAAAAATGTTGGGGTGAAATGAAGTTTAAAAATTTAATGAATCAAACACCTTGGAGAAATTGCTGCCAAATTCACTTTCCATCTTCCTTTGCAATGGTCTGCTTTAATCTCTGTTTTCAAAACATGTCTGCTTGCTAATTTGATGATTAGATTATAATCCTAAAACTCAGAGAGCAGTGTTAAATACACAGGCCATGGTCACTCAGTTACTTACAGTCAGCAGAATGGCAATGTGATTACTGTATATCTAGAAAAATATACAGTACTTGCATAGGAGAATGGGGCCAGAAACAAAGAAAATAGTTTTAGTGATAGTTCTGAAATGTGAGCCCAAACAGAAAAGTGTCATATGGCACTAAACGTATTTTTAAGATATATAGACAGGACAGCTGTTGAAAGTCTTACATAGCACATCAGTTAAAATAAAAATTTTCAAGAAGGAATCCTTCAGAAGAAAAATGTCAACAGAGGAAATCAGAATTTAGAAACTGATAATATGGATGTGACTAACGCTGAAATATGAATTACCCTAAGTCTTTTTATTTTATTTTATTTATTTTTAAAGTAGGCTCTGCACTCAGAGTGGAGCCCAACGCGGGGTCCAAACTCACAACCCTGAGATCAAGACCCAAGCTGAGGTCAAGTTGGCCGCTTAACTGACTGAGCCACCCAGGCGCCCCGAGTTACCCTAAGTCTTAGCACTTTCCTGGTTTATAGCCTCAAAATTATTAAGTAGTTCTTCAAGGTCTAGGCAAGCCCTAAGAGGGAGCCTGGGAGATGTACCTTTCCCTCGTGCCGTGCTGCCGCGACCGGCGTGGCTTCTTCCGCCTTTTTCCGTCTGTCCTCTTCCTCGTCCCGCTCCTCCTCGGCCTTTTTCTCCGGAGTCACAGTGGTGATCAAGTTGGTCTGAGAGATACCCTTTGTTGTGGCGTACTGGCCAGTACCAACCTCTGCAGCAGACACAGAATCCTTCATGTATATTTCATGGTTTTCATTCACTGATGCTAAAAGCAAATACAATTGAAGAAAAAAAAGTCTGAAATAGTTAAGGTAGAGGGTAGACCACCACCACCAACTGTCCCATTATGAAAAAAGGTACCCCTACCCCCGTCTGTCTGCAAAGACAAGGCAGTGCTGCAGGTACCTGCACCCTGGCACTATCAGAGACTCATCTTTCTAGAGCTTCTGCTATCCCAGTGTTTTAAAATGATTTAAAGGCTCATCTCTTGAAGCCACCAGAATAACTCTCAGGCTTTCTGGGGAGGAGGATGCACAAGCAGATGCAGTGGAGGGGTAGTATGCTGGGCTGCTATAAGCCTGGTACCCGACAGAGTAATGGGCTGGGCAGCGGTGCCAGGCGCTGGCGCCAAGTCCCAGAGTTAATAGCGGTATTTGCAGTGGACAACTGCATGCCTACACTTGACTTTGAGCATATCTTTGGAAGTTCCATTCACCAAGGAGCACTGAATTGGGGTTTTCAATTACTGTTATTAATAATGGCTAGAAAGTCCATCACTCCTGCAATGTAAAAAGTCCCATGCGTAATAATGAAAATGAAGCATCTTGATGGGATCATAAAATTTGGGAAGATTGTACAATTTGGGTGGTGACTGTTCAGCTGGAGTGCAGAGATGTTTTAATCTCTACTGCACTTTAAACAGACTACCCTGATATGCACAGACTCATTCATCTCTGATATTTTGGGACGATAAGACAAATGTTGCTAATGAAATTCATGCAAGTGCAAAGCATGCAAACATAAAAGATATGAGACACAGCCTTTCATCCCAACTAAAATGTCTTAGTGAAAGATGCTTAATTCAGTTACATTTTTAAAGTCTGATACTGATTATTTTCGGTTTTAGATATATACAACTTATTTAGAACTTATAAATGATACTTTTCAAATACACAGTAGCTAATCACAGGCAAAATATAATCAGCTTCATAGTTTAGGAAGTTTAAAATGTAAATGTAAGAAAATATTCTGAAATCCTTTTATAATAGCTAAACTGTTTCACTAAAATATCTTCACTAAGATATTTTATGTTTCCTCGTTTTGATGAAAAAGCTCATATGAGATGCGATTTCCCAATGGGCTAGTTAGGGTGTTCTACATAAGATGCAACCTTGCAAAAAGCATTTTGTGTTCCAACATGCAGCCATGGCACCCAGCTCAATAGCACAGAAAACATACTAGAATTGGCAGGACCCCAAAGAGTGAGAGACAACACATACTAACATCACTTTTGGGCAGGGAGGAAGAGACAGTATGGTATTAGTACATTTATTTCACAATTGTCTTCTGTCTTGTCAATAATTATTATCACATAAAAGGCCATAAGGAAAACAACAGTTACAACACATGTGTTCCCTTGGGTACACATCACTGAACAAAGTGGATGATGCTCAGGGAAAATAGGGGTGGTTCCAAAAAAGTTCCTCCAACACGGACTTATAGAATACACAGTTTACAGAGATTCTCTCAAGGAGAAAGAAGAATAAATGGAACAAAGTAGTAAGAAAAGCTTCAAAATTAAAGTGAATAGTTCAGTATCTTAATTTAACCCCAAACGGTCCTAATAAACATTTTATTCCAAAAGTTCGGCTCCCAGTTAGGTATTCCTGAAAGAGGCAACCATTGGAAGATAGAGAATGGTAACTGACTTCCTAGGCAGCTCACAAAAACATAGAATAATCTTGAATAGAATTATTATCACACCTATAACAAGAGGGCTGTCACACCTGTCTCATTCACTCTTTGCATATGGCCTTATTCCCATTTTACAGATAATGATGAAAACCCAGAGCTGGGAAGTTTAAATCATTCGCCAGTCGCTACGCAAATGGACCTCAGTCTGGATCTACCTACTAGCAGAGGGTTTTTTTACTTCACGAGTAATGTATGTGATTCAGCACTTAGGATACAATTCTGACTTTTCCTACAAACTGTTTAGCAAGTATTCCATTAGAGAAATACAACCTTCTAAATCAGGGGATTCAGGGAGTTACACCATCCTACCAGTCACGCTGGGGTCTGGTGAAAGGGAAGAGAGACCTGGGACTATGGTAAGTGGTGGCACAACAGGTAAGGATGAAGGTGATCCCACATTTTTGTAAGTTTGCGTTTTTACTTTTTTAAAATTATTTTTATGTTTTTGCTTATTATAACAATTGCACACACATGCTAGAAACTTCTCTTTTTATACACGTAGGATAGATCTTCTATAACACAACTAATCTCCAGGTGCTTTGAATTAGAAAACGGAGACTTGGCCATGGCTCACTTTCTAAGTATTACTACAGCTGCCATGTGTTGTAGTGGGAAGCACATCTGTGTGTTACTATAGACAGCAACACGAAACTGTCACATAAGACAAAAACCCACAAGAAATTATTATGTCATTCCTCAGAAATGTTATTTCAGTGATTCTCTCCTTGTTTAACTTACACATTTGTCTTAACAGTGGAGAACATTTACATGGCAGTGCTTTCCCAGTCCATCTGGTGTAGTCATTAATATTAACCAGGAGGATTTAACTTGGAGCCTTCAGGTCTATAATTTGAATATCATCCTTTCTATCAGCTATCATGCACTGACTGACCAACAGTCATATTTTATCTGTAAAAATTTTGTAGAAACAGATAAATTTAACTTACAGTCCTCCTTCTGAAACAAATGGACTGAAACAATACGGTAATCACTTCAGATCTGCCAGCAAGTGAACCAAATTACTTACAGAGTATGTGATAAGTGTATTTAGAATGAGAGCATCTTTCCCCCAAATCGGGGTGCTGGCTTCTGAAAGCTATGCTCTTCATTCCCAAAGTGCTATTCTTTTATGGAATTTTTTATGAATCTACCAATAACAGACATTAGACTCACAAAAGCACTGTTTTTTTGTTTTTGTTTTTGAGGGAGGGGGTTAGAAACTTGTCACTTAGCCGCAGACCAACGAGTGCTTTTTGTTTCATACTATTCAAGAAGATCTATGTTTATGGAAAGTTTGTGATGATTTCACACTATTTCTGGGGAGCCATTCATGATTATCATTACTAAGGGTTAGTGAATAATGCCTACCTCCATCCAAGCTGCGAGACATGGTATAGCGTTTGCTGGACGAGCGTTCGAAGTAGGGGGCGGGACGATCTATCAATGCACTGGCTCTTCTTGTTTGGGCTTGTGTCCTGCCACTATATCGAAACTTGGAGCCCAAGGTAAGGAATTTCTTTGGAGGTGCTTCTGGTAACAACAGTCTAAAGATATTAAGGAAAAAATATCAGAAACACTATTAAGTCAATTATTAAGAACGCTATCTTAGCTTTTTTAGCCAAAAGTAAAATGCTTTTTGTGCTAAAGATTTAACACATCACATGCCAAAGGAATGTGACTTTATAATTCCCATAGTACAAACTCCCAGAGTGTTGTAGAGAGGCTATAATATAAATACAATGCAGGTTGGTTTGGGCTACATGAATTTTTTTTTAAAAGATTTTATTTATTTATTCATGAGAGACACAGAGACAGGGAGAGGCAGAAACACAGGCAGAGGGAGAAGCAGGCTCCATGCAGGGAGCCTGACGTGGGACTCGATCCTGGGTCTCCAGGATCACACCCTAGGCCGAAGAATGCGTTAAACCGCTGAGCCACCCAGGCTGCCCAGAGACATGAATTTTAACATCTCACACAACTCAGAAGCCTATGGTTCTAGAAACCCAAAGAGCTTCAATAAGTATAGGTGAAGAAGAACAATGATAATTTGTTATTTTACAGACAAAAATCTGATAGTCTGAGTACTGTATATAAGCAAAGGGGGCCAAAGAACTGAGAAATGATTGAAATAGTAAGGTATGGATTGAATCCTTGAAGTGGACGTCCTGTAAAAACAATGAAAGGACACTAAAGATAATAAAGGAGAGATAGGTCAGATAAGCCTAAAACAAATTAAGGAAGATCCTTCAGTCAGAAGTTTTTAGGATTTCCTGTCAAGAAATCTTGTGACAGTGAATTTGAAGGCAAAAAAGGATATGCGTCCACATTCTTTTTCCCAACAGACTTTGGCAGTAGAAGTGATCCCAATCATTCTAATTCTTCCTTAAAGAACATCAGCTTTACATACCTGAAAAATGTATGATGTTCAACACATACTTTCCATAAACGCTTGGCAGCTCGATGGTTTGGCAGTTTAAAGCCAATGGTGCTTTCAAATTGTTCAAACTAAATTAAAAAAAAAAACAAAACAAAACATAATGAAGAGTAAAGTTTGGAATTATAAATAACATGAAAGCAAGTAAATCACAGATCATGCCACCCACAAAATTTTCCTTTCCTTATGAAATCAAACGCTATATGCAGAAGTCATGCCCTACACATTCATTAAAAAACAACCTTGTACCTATTCTCCTTAAAATGCTGCAGGCATGGATAATCACATTATGCATGCAGTAGAGGTTTTATGGACAAGTATGGATTTCATGAAAACTAAATGCAAAAAAAGAGGATATCTGGATCCCTTCCAGAGACCAATTTGTCCCGATCTCATTTTTAAGCCTTATTTTCATGTCGTCTCTGTGACATCATGACTTCAACTGGAATGTAAGGGCATGAATAAAATGTTTATTGTCTGTAGCATTCTCAGGATGATGTTTTCTCCCAGGATCTGGTCAGAAAAATGTGTGTGTCTCCTAGGTATTTGATGACATGGTATCAGATATTGCTGATTTTGTTTTGGCATTCTCATCTGGATTTTTATTATTATTTTTTTCATCTGGATTATCATAGTAAACACTAACATCTGTTGATATTACATGTATGATCATAGTTTGGGAGAACACAATTTCATATCTTTCAGCATGGAGAGCTCATATGATGATCTATTAGCCATTTACTTTCTCAGGGTGAAACATCTGACTTATTGAGTAATATATTTTATTATTATTATTGTTGCAAATGTTTGGGATTTTTAAAATTTTCTGAAGACAGTATGCATCAGGCCACCAGAGGGCAATCATTTTAAACAGTAAATGTTTTCTAAAAGAGCATTAAAATAACCAGACTACTGATACCGTCAATAGAAAAAAAGTGATTTATGTAGCAAAGAACCCAGGGGAGGAGCTGTGTATGGCATATGAGATACAGTGATGCTTACTTCTACTTCTTATTGAGTGGGACTAAGCTGGGTGGCAGTGGAGGGAGAATGGGAAATACATCACAAGCTATTCCAACTATGACTGTCTTTCCCAATTTTGTTCTTACTCTGGATGTTCACATGTAGTGGCACTCATAACAATTGCTATTGGCCAAGAGCCTCAGTCAATCGACGAGCCCGAGTATTATGGATCCTGACTAACCCGTGCTCCGTTTATTCATCCTGCATCTAATGTGTACCACACACGACACTAAGGCCAGTTTTTTTCTTTTTTAAAGATTTTATTTATTTATTCATGAGAGACAGAGAGAGGCAGAGACACAGAAGCAGGCTCCCTGTAGGGAGCCTGATGTGGGACTCAATTCCCCGGGATCACGACCTGAGCCAAAGGCAGATGCTCAACTACTGAGCCACCCAGGTGTCCCCAGGCCAGGGGTTTTAGAAAACAATCATCCTGCCCTCTGCTGTGAAAAGCTGGGAAGATTTTTCTTGCTGCAATCCTCCCTAGACCAAAGATGAGAGAGGCTCCTGCACTTTTTGAATATTTCTCTCTCTCTCCATGCTTTGTACCAACGTCAACCTCTTCAGAGCCTTCTGTGCCACCAATAATTTTTTCTCATTTGTTCTTCTCAAGTCCATATATATATATATATATATATATATATATATATATAGTTACAGTTATAGTTATATATATGATTGCAGAAAAGGAGGGGGGAATCCAACTGTCCTTGAACCTGCTTCTGCCTGCACCACAACCCCATCTTGCTCCTAGACAAATCAAAGGAAGGAGCAGCCTTGGCCCCTTCACTCCCCACCTCACTGCACCCCTGCAGGTGCTCCTACCACCTGCTGGAACTCTCCACTGTTACCTGGGATCTGTCAAGTACAACGCACTTGTCTCAGTCCTTGCCCACATGGGCTCTGTGGCATCTGGCCCTGCTGGTTAGCCACGTGCTCAGAATCCCGTCTCCTTGTCATTTGTGGCTGTTCTTACCCCTTTTCTTTCTCTGGCTGCTTTTGTTCATCCTCCTCAAGAAGTGACGTTACCCAAAAATTCTGCTTTAGGGTCTCTCTCCTTCTCTAACTTGCCTTATTTTTCGGGTAATTTATTTCATGCCCACAGCACTGGATTCTACAGATGCAGCTGAGGACTCCTTCAGACTTCTATTTCCTTCTATGCAAGAATCACTCCCTGCAAATATGTCTCAAAGAAATTTAATCTTTTTTTTTTTTTTAATTTTCCCTGTTTTCTCCCGTTGTCTAATAATACCATGTCCAGCAGCTTCACTTGTGCCGACGGAAGACCTCTGATTCTCCTGGACTCCGTTCTGTGTCCAACACTTAACAGGAGGCTCAGTTTCTGGAACCTCGCTCACATTTGCTCCTTCTGTTCTATCCCCATGGCCTCTGCCCTAGTTTAGGTATCACCACATCTCCTTGCTGAGCTGCTGAGTTTCATTCCAAATTATTCATCTAGTCTATCACATCCTCTTTAAAACCTCCCATGTCTCACTGTTGTTTCCTGATGCATTTCTCCAACTCTCCGATCTGGGACCTCACTACAGCATGCTGGCCCCATGTCTGTGGAATATTATCATACGTGCAATAAGTAGATCTTCACAACACAATTCAAAGTCCATGACACTATTTCTTTGCTCAACAGAAAGTTCCTTAGGGACAGGAACGAGGTCATATTTATCTAATGGTGCCTGACAATAAATAAATGCTCACTTGTAAATGATGAATCGATGTAAATTGGTTGTAAGTTTGATATGCAATTTTAAGGAAATAAAAAAATTGGGTTCAGGTATTTACATGAAAAGCTTACAGATTATTTCAGCCTTCATGGACAAGCTGGGCTTTATATTTACTTTAAACATGATTCCTTGTCTTATAGTCTGATTTTTTTAAGTTTTTAAAAAATTGAGGTGTAACAGACATAGAGCATTAGTTTCAAGTGTATGACATGATTTAATGTTTATATACATTTGAAATGATCACAATAAGTCTAAGTAACATTCATCACCCCACACAGACTTTCTTTCTTGTGATGACAACTTTTAAGATCTACTGTCTTAGCAACTTTCAGACATACAATACAGTATTATAACTATAGTCACCATGCTGTACATTACATCCCATATAACCTGGTTTTTAAATTACATTTTATACCAATGGAGAGGCTGATTTTGAAGACAGGAGATAATTCTGTATTGTATCAGAAAATGTTCAGAGACACAGATGAGCTGCAATCTTAGAGCTCTGACTCCCTCCATTAGATTAACCATGTGCATTAGAAACTGGATATATATATATATATATATATATATGATATAAATAACTGGATATATGTATTCATCATCTGTTACACAGATAATAGGAGATATTTACCACCTATTAGGTGTCAACCACCATGGAGGACATAAGTAAATTTGCATGGTTTTGCCCAGGGAACAAGGATTAGTTAAGAATTTTGAGTTTTCTAATCAGTCTTTCTGATTAAAAGAAAAAGGCAGACATGTACTAGGCTATGAGACATTTCAATAATTTACCCTTGTCTCTTGCTCTAATCTTTCTTGTACTTTGATCACATTATCTCAAAGCGATTCGTGTTACGGTGCCAGCAGATTTGGAGTACAGAAAGGGCATAAGCACATAAAACAGGGACAGACAGAAATCTATTTTTCATTCACAAAAGGTTTGGCACCTCAGAGTTTCTTTGTTTTTGAAACGTAACATTATTCATGTATCTTGATTTTGCATTAAAATCTGCAAAAATAAGGGCATCTGAATGGCTCGGTGGTTGAGCAGCTACCTTCAGCTCAGATGGTGATCCCAGGGCCCTGGGATCAAAGTGCCGCACTGGGCTCCCCGCAGAAAGCCTGCTTCTCCTTCTGCCTATGTCTCTGTCTCTCATGAATAAATACATAAAATCTTTAAAAAAAAAAAAACAAAAACCCTGCAAAAATAAAAGCTATTCCATCTATGCATTGGGACAAAATCATTCAATCAATCAGAACCAAACCATTAAAAAGAAGAGAGCATCTTACTTATTGCTGTTTATCAGACAAATCTACACTAAACTCTCTCAGGCAGGGAGACATAACTTGCCATGTCCTATGATGTTTAGGATCTGGGACCTGGCAATTTACATTTTTGTTGGCTATCAGGTACCTTCCTTCCCAATGTATGTGCAAAAACTGGAGGGCTACTTACCTCTCCTGGCCGGATCTTAATGTAAAAGTTGTTCCGTTTGTATGAAATTTTGAGAACCTTAGGCCAGGCAAATCTGTTGATTCTCAGACGGTCACGATATATCAACAGACCACTTGCACAAACTCCTAACATAATTTCTACTCCTTCAGAATCCTGGAAAATAGCATCGAGAAACAAACGGTCAGTATTTCACTTATTTCCACTCACAGCTGAGTGTGGTATTTAATGCACCACAGCATTCCACGCAGGAACCCATGACGGACTGCTGATGGCTCTAATTTCGATCAGAAAAATACTGCAGTCATTGTTTTTAAATGTTGCCACTAAATAATCAACTTTTAATGAAGGTATTTATCACTATGGAGATTTGTCAGAGTAGAACTGGCTCACCTGGATGTCCTGCAATGTAAATGTGGTGCACAGAGAAGAAGAACCAGACGATGTGCTGATGACAGTGCAAATGATAGATACAGGGCTTAGTTAGGATTGTGCTCTGGGCATGGCTCTTGCTGGTTCACATATGTCATGTTAACTCTCTTAATCTTCATTATGATATTCTGAGACAGCTGCTATGACTATTCCTAGTTTACAGACGAGGAAACTTTAAAAGCATGGAGAGGTTACGTATCTACCCTGGTTGAATATGGGCAGCCTGGTTCCAGAGGCAGAGCTTTTAGCTAATCTGTATACTAACACAGAGGCCCTGTCCTTTCCAATGAGTAGTTTGGAGTATGTTCCATTAAAAAAGAGCCTCGATCTTTTTTATACACCATTTGTGTCAGAGTAAAATTTAAATATAAAATAGGTTTTTAAAGTCTGAGTGTACTTGCCCACTGTCTGTAATACACACACTGCCCAGTCACAGTTGCCTTGGACAACTGAGTCACATACATAAATGCAGACATATTTTCTATATGTAGATAGTTTTCTTCTTTAAGTGGGGAGAGTGCTCTGTTTATAACATGCTTGTTTTGCTACTCCTCAGGTCATTTCCTAAGGATGTGTGATGAGAAGTCTCAGAGGTCATTTGAGAGGTCATCCAAAGCCCAGGAGACATGTCACGTAACAGCCTATACCCCCTAAATTCCGTATTTGGGTGAAACTGGAGTAAAATGAACATGTGTGGTAACCCTGAGGATAAACAAAGGACAGAAGGCAGGACTGTGTGTGAGTCTCCATCCTCATCCCCTTGTCTTACTGGATGTTGGAAGCAGGGGGCACCTAGGAGGCAAAGCTGAGGTCTTTTGTGACATTAATTGGCAGGACTGTCCCTGGCACTGAGTCACTCTGTGGCAGTGTTTGGAGGTGGGGGGTGCTGTAGAAATGGATGAATCCAGACAGGAGATTCTGACTCATTCATATTGTGGGAACTGACTTCCTAAATCTTTTCAGTGCAAGACATAAAATGAACATTTCCAGAATCAAAAATAAATATTTTGGTCCATCTCTGGGAAATCTAAGTCCACAAATACAACTTAACTGGATTAAAATGAAATATTTTACTTTGGAAATGGATCGATCCATTGGATATGAAATTGCTCTATAGAAGTAGAAATACTTGATGGCAGGATATTACAACATAATTAAATTTGAGGAGAATTCAAAGACCAGAGACTGCCCACCATTTATCAAGAGCTTTAATCTGCAAGAGTAATTGGAAGAGCTATAGCTTGATGCTGACAAGTAGTTGGCACTATTGATCCTTTAGTACCAGTCAATCTGCTCACAGGGCTGTTCAGAGGTGACCCCCTTGCACCTTGAGCAGAAATGCAGACATGAGGGAGGACTATTTGAGTAAAAGCTCCTTGATTCACTTTCTATTTGATAAATAGTACAGTTTAGGAAAAATAGGCCTTTGACCTACAGAAGAAAAGGACATTTTAAAACCTCTTTCAATATTATCTGTCTTAAGATCATCCATTAGTGTCTTTGGATAATGAGAAGACAGATCCTTCATGGGGAAGATCAGAAAGCCTCCTCTGACCCCTCCTCTTCTCCTGCTTGCCTCCACCACACACATCTCTGTGTCCCCATATTGCCCTGTGATTGCCAGCACACCCCAAGCAAGCGCTGTTGCAATGAACACCCACTCCTCCTCTTCAAGACTAGATGCTGCTTGAGAGCAGTTCTGTTTTATCTTTTAACTGCTTGCTCAGCACAGCATCTGCCTAGCATGCATTAAGCCATACATGCTTATTAAGAAAGAGCAAATGGAGAAAATGTCAGGAATATGTGGGGTTTTAAACTGAATAAATATTTCCACTTCATTAATCTACAGCATCAACAAAAAAATACTTTGGGTATTAAGTCTTCTGCCAGAGTCCACAGTCCTGCCGCTAGCTTGATAAATCTTTTATACTGAAAGCTGTAACAGCGGTCTGTCTTGGGGACATGTGTGTTTCCTATCAATAAACACACTTAATGCTCCCTTTAGGGGGGAGCACTGGAGGAAGATCTCGATATTCTCAGTCTATCATAATTAAAATAAATGAGTGTACTATTCCTTTTAATTTAAAAATCACTGTTCAGACTTCACCTTCCTTCATTTATCACTTGGTCCATGGGATATCCGGTAGGGATTTAAATATACATTTCAGAATCTTACATGAAATAAATGACTCTGATAGTGCCTACTCAGGTTGACATTAAATAACAAACAAGCAGAGACAGTCTCCCTAAGGAAAAAAAAAACCATTTAGGATAGGTTTTCTAAAACAAGGGACCTTCCTCTAATAATATGTTATTTATTCTCTATACAGAGCCATGGAGTCCAAGATCACAATCCAGAATTTCTAAATAGGCCCCACAGGTCAAGTTAGGGCCTTTGATACCATCGACAGAAGAGAATCATCTCACAACCGGAAATTCGCTCTAATCTAATTCAGTAAATTTCCTTCTTGAAATGATGGAGTATGGCTGCATGAGAAAATGGGAGTCCACACCAAACATTTGTTATACTTAATATTCAGATGAAATCCTATAATAGGCTGCATTTGTGCTTCCTTAATTCCTTGTTTTTAATTGGCATGATTTCAAATCATATTAGTGAATGAAAAACCAGTGATCTATTTTAATTTAGTAGCTACAGCAATGTTAAGTGATTTTATTTGTACTGATAGGAACACTGATAAATCCTCAGTTGCACTTCCCCAATGTATGCCCTAATCCTTTATTTACTTATTTTTCCTGGATGGTAAGTGAATAATTGTGTGTAATATAACTCAAAAATAGCTTTCAATTTCCTCAAATTTTCAGGCTACCTTCATTTCCTTCTTGTTTCCTTATCTGTTAGCCACCCAGGGAAAGACTCTAAGAAAAAAACAATCTTAGTGTGTGTCTTTGTTTTCTTTTTCAAATCCTTACCCTACATTATACAGCATAAAATACAAAACACTTTCTTATCTGAGTGAAAAATAAGTGAAAAAATATGATATTGAACTGGCAAGTAAATAGAGCTACACCTGCCATTGTAATTACACACAAATGTCAAAGAGCTTGGCATCCAGTGTACCAGAGCATCCCTAGGATGCCCCAGCCAAGTCCCTGAGATTTTGCTAGTGTACAGGCCTTCAGGCCTTGGAAGTGCTCATCCTGTGTGATGTACAAAATGATTCACATACTAGTCAAACCTGTATTTGTTTGATGGCCACCATTTTCTTGCCTAACCAAGTGTGGATCAGTCTGGTCCCCAAAAGCCAACCAGGGAGTGGCCTCACGTACAGCGTCAACAGAGTCTATAGACCACAGATTTCCCTCTGATGTGTCCTCTGGGTTATCAAGTTATTTGCTGGCACAGAGCCAGTTGAAGCTCTCTTCATCTCCTGGCTCCAACCTTGACTATTTAAGATACTTGCATGCCTCGGAGCTGGTTAACTGCGTGTTTCTTTGGGTCCCAAAACATGAAATTGGTGACTTATGCAGTCTATCAGTAGTAAAGGCACATTTCTATATAGAAGTGATAATCTCTTGACAGCTAAAATCAGAGGAACAACCCTTAAACATCCAACATTGATCTTTTTCATGTTACCGAAGTCCCAGAATCCATCTGTAAGATACCAACAAAATTCACAGGCTTTGGATGGAAGTTTTCATAAAGCTTGCATGTGCTTCTATAGTACTTTTATTCACAGCTGCTCAAATAACAGACTAACAGCTCATTCACTCTCTCACTGAAGAAAAATACAGAGATTTTGGGAAAAGTGTGACCTGGGGTCAAATGTTTTATGCATCCTGACCACCTCAATCCTCCGACAGTCCAATTCCAACTTCCTCTTGGAAAGACTGTGGCCAAGATACAGCTTTAACATTTCACCAATCAACTAGGCAATCATTAGCTTTGGGGATTAATTTTAGTTCAACTTCAAAATTACAATCTTATTTCAAAGCACTGATTATTTGTCAGAGAATCTAAGCTCTAGAGAGAGTTATTTAAATCTAACATGAATTTCTGAGTGCCTGGTAAGCACCCAGAACAGAGGCATCAACAGTCCTTGGCACATAAGAGATGTGACAATTGGGTCTTGGACAACTGGCCAAAGTCGGACAGGTAGACAGAAGGGAGGACAGCCCAAACAAAGACAGGCATATTCAGAGAAAAGGCAGAGACAGGATTTGGCAGAAGCAAAGGGCACATGCTAGCACAATAGAAGATAAAACTGTGACAGGGAAGGGGGCTGAGTTAGGAGCTTATTGTACGAAAACAAATTTCTAACTGAATCAACGGGCAATCTGAGGCTTTGCCTAGTCTGGGCTTTCAGTAGCTGAGGCCAGGAGCAAGGGGACTTTGAGACATGCAGACCAAACCCTTTGCTAAAATATCAGAGTAGTGAATTTGCTTTGCCACTGAGTAGGCCTTAAAAGCAAACACAGATCTGAATCCCCAAAGTTTGGGTTTACAATAACTAAAGTAAAAATCACTCGCTAATAGAAATAACAACACTGGATTAAATAAAATTAAATAGGAAGTTTGGGGTTTAAAAAAATGCATACCTTGGCATGATGTAAATCAACCCCATACATGGACAGTTTTTTGGCATTTTCCAAGAAATGCATCTCTGCTTCTGCTGGCGTCATTCCTCTGATAAGACAAAAAAAAAAAAAAAAAAAAAAAAGTGTGTTACAATGCTGCTTTTCCTTCCCCTGGCAGGGCTGTAACATTTCCCACTTAGCCCCTTGCTACCTCATAAGCAAGCCCCAAAGAGGCACCAGCAGATTTGTGCTCTGATAGGGGTAGGGGAGGATAACAAGAAAAATGGTTTTTTTGAGTGGGGCCCCTGAGCGGGGCGCCTGGGTGGCTCAGTTGAGCATCTGGCTCTGGATTTTCGCTCAGGTCATGATCTCAGGGTCCTGAGACTGAGCTCTGAGTCAGGCTCCGCACTGAGCATGGTGCCTGCTTAAGATTGTGTGTGTGTGTGTGTGTGTGTGTGTGTGTGTCTCTCTCTCTCTCCTCCTCTGCCCCTCCCCGTCCTCCCACGTCGAGCTCTTTCTCTCTCAAAAACCACAACAGCAACAACTACCAAAAGAACACCTGAGTGAGAGTGTAACTATACCAGAACTGTACCAAGTACAGAACCTCACTCTGCTACAGTCTTGGCCTTAATGCCACTGAAGTCCATCCTGGGAAAAGCAGGTAGTACAAGTGATGTTCACCCATTAGGTACAAGTAAAACAGACGTTTTCAGGGTTTCTGCCACTCACCTGTGGCTCTTGTGCAGCTCGATCACTTTATCTTCCAGTTCTTTAGTGTGGTTTGGTGCAAAGCGGAACTCACTAATGTAATCATTCCCACATTCATCTGGATCATAGTCTCCAAGTTCGGACTGGACAGTGTAGGAGCCCAACAGGGCCAGGGTGACAAAGGAGCAGGGCAGCCTTCCAGACACGATGTCATCTCGCAGTTGTAGGCAGAGGTAGTACCTTCGGGGAGCCAAAAGACAAAGACAAAAGCCAGCATTAGGACATGTGAAAAACAGGCCACTTGGTACAAATTGTGCTGGAAACAATTTCTTCCTGCCGCATAATATTACCAGGACAAATCTTCTAGCATCTATATTTTGCTTTAGATGTAAGGAGAAAATACATGGCTATAAAATAATATTTAAGGGCATCTAGAGGCAAATCAATGTTCCAAATAAAACAAGATTTTAGGGATCCCTGGGTGGCGCAGCGGTTTGGCGCCTGCTGTTGGCCCAGGGCGCGATCCTGGAGACCCGGGATCGAATCCCATGTCGGGCTCCCGGTGCATGGAACCCGCTTCTCCCTCTGCCTGTGTCTCTGCCTCTCTGCCTCTCTGTCTCTGTGACTATCATAAATAAATAAAAATTAAAAAAAAAACAAGATTTTATTAATAGAGCACAGAGTAAAAGATATCTCAAGACATATTTCTTTAACAACTTTTAAAATAACTAACATTTAAACTCAAATCATTGATTACCCCAACACACTCCCTAAAATCTCTGGTTGGGGGGATTATAATACAAAAATGGTGCTGCTAAGTGCAATTATTAGGTCTCTACCAGCCTTAAGGAAGTGTCATTTTGATGTCTCAGTTAAAGGTCCTGCCATATGACCACAACAGATTGCAGGTAACTCAACAACTGCACATCATAAACTGCTCTCAAGTTCCTGCATTCCTGATGCAGTGGTCTCTTTATGATAACAACTGTTCCCATTTCAAGTCGTCGTCGTCGTCTTCTTTTTTTTTTTTTAAGAGAATTTCTTGGAATCCAACTGATATGAAGACTAACTGAAGAATTACTGCTTTAAAATCTGAGAACCTCATCACAACAAGTAAACAGCTTTATACTCAAGGAGTAGAAAACATTTTCTTATAATATGATCAAAATATCACACAGATATTTCCATCCACTGATAGCTGACTTATCTTCTCTGCTTTTTGCTTTTTAAGATTTACGATATAATACTAACTGCAGAGGACTCCAAGGTAAGTGTTAACATTGATGACTTTTAATAAAACCCTTCCTGGACCAAGCACATAGATATAATAATAAAATACACTTGCACCTTTCATATAAGAAATAAATTGTTAATCTGTTGAAGATGAAGACAACGATTAAAGTCTTAAGGTCCCCTCTAAATGTGATTTTAAGCTGATGATGTAAGTAAACTCCACATAATACAGATACAAAAGTTTCTACGCATTCCACAGGCTCTATAAATATTGCACAAATAGAAAGGAACCATGCACTAACATTTAAAATCCAGGTATATTTGGCTCTATCACCAATAAAGTAGTGACAATTAAGAGGTTCTTTAATATTATTAAAAAGCATCTTTAAATAAGAAATCATCAATTTCCCTTGATTTAATACAAATATAAAATACATCTTTTCTAACTATTTTTTACTCTTCTCCTAATATGTCTGGTGAATTTATTTTTACTCATAGCCAGTGACTGGAGTTTTTTTGAGTAATTCCTCTTTTCTGAAAAGCCCTCCAAGAAGCATGTGAGGCTTACACAGAAAATTCAGCACACACTGCACAATGTCACTCTGATTGGCTGTAAACTTACTACCAAACAGGGTGAGAAAGTCAGCTGGAAGGTTCCAAAGCAGGATTTGGAGAAGCCTAGAGGAACACATGGCAAACCCAGGATAGCCTCATAAAGGGATCTCCTCTCACACCCAAAGCTCAGTCACGGCACCAGAATATTTTTACATTAGTTTCCTTTCTTAAAATGTCTTCCTTTCCCAACATGAATGAATCATTTTCTCTGTACAGACAGCATAGAGAAAGTAAACTCTGAAATGTATACATGTTTATGTGTATTTGTGTGCACATGTGTACGATTTTTTTTTAATAGCTGTCGTGTATCAGATTGGTTATATAAAAGGCACAAGCATCCAAAGACACATTTTTACTCTGAGTTTTAGAGCAGGAACACTAGGAATTGCTATATCATTTAAGGCTGAATCCCATCCAATTTGACTGAGGTGGGTGGATGACAGCATCTCAATTCCGCATGTTTTCCCGCGAGGGTCAGGCAGACGGAAGTATCAGCTTAGCACCATAGATTCAACTGTGAACAGATAGGATTTGGCAAATCATTTCATCAGATGTTTGCTCTCACTCAGTTGCCTTTGGTTTGCCATTTCTGGCATGGATAACGGAAAGGTTACCAGATGTGAGCATGCTCTTCCTCAGAGAATAAAGAGAAGCTCCTGCTATGCCTGCCTTTTTCATAGCCAACTTTCAAATACCTGGTGATGTCTTCAGATAGCTGGGCAGGGTCTGGTGGGTAAAATTTCACATTAAATGAAAAGTGCCAAGCACCACCTGCAGAGATAAGAGAAAAATTAGAATGAAACCTCAGAAAAATACCTTTATACTTATTATTCTGATTAGAGCTACCATAATTCCAAGTACTAACACCCAGGCAACATTTGCTCCTCGGTGGAAAACAGCAAAGTCTCAAGTGAAATGAAATCCAGATACATCTGAAAACTTCATCTAGTTTTTAATCTTTTCCCCAAATCCGTTACTGGTGCTTCTAACTAGCTTCGAAATTGACTAAACTTCCTCTCTTTTGGACAAAGGTAAGCCTTTGCAAGAGGGAAAAAAGTGTAAATGATATGGATAATCCTCAATCAGACAAGTCTGGAATTGACTGGATCTACTACTATTAAATTCTGGATAGTTCACATACCAACAGTAGAGACATAATCCCATTTCCTTTGTCCTTTCTCCTTTGTTATTACAGGTCAAATCCCATTATAATACATGTCAAGGAAATTTTCAAGATATTTTTATTTTATGGAAGGGTTTCTCGTGGTGACTATTTAAGTGAGCTACTCTCTAGGCTGAAAATTCTTTTCTTACTTGGGAAAATTTCTGATTCAAGAGACGCTCGAATATATTAACGTGCTTTACAAAATTCTACATCTCCTTGTGAGCCCACGACTTGGATGAGTGCTAGTTACACACTGCCATTCTTTATGCTATGGCATCTCCTTATGGCCTCCTCTTCAGCAATGAAAAGAATCATCCAGATGGCAGCTTATAGTCACCTACTCTGTGTACAGTCCATGCTTACACCTGAAACATTGTAGAGCCTTCCTAAGCTCTCCATTTTATCCATACTGTCTCTACTTGTGTATAGTTTATCATTATAAACATGGAAAAACATTTTCTTCTCTTCTCCATTTACTCTCTCTCTCTTTACCTGATCACTCCTTTAACTCATATTCACTTCATCCTTTCCTTCTGGCCTTTTAATGCAGTAACTTATAAAAAGTCTGGGTGTTCCTTCACTGGACATTTGTTCTCTTCATGCAATAACCACAAAATGCCACAGCGTAGACCCTACTTGTATTCTGAATGCACTACTGAAAAATACCTCCCAGTCTCCTTGGCTTCTATACTGGAAGCCTTTTATCCACACCCCAAGCCGTAGCCACTTCCTTTCACTGATTCTGTGACCTCACAGTCCAGCCCTTCTGCTTCAAATGTCCCTCTCAGGTACCCAAACACACCCGCCTCCCCCATTAAATGACTTCTGGAAACTCCATTTTCTCCACCAGTCCTTTGCAAACATTCAGAAGAAAGGGGTAGTATTTTAAGTGCCAGCTTCTTTCTTTGGGTTATTCTCTCGAGTATGAGGCAAATACTTAGCTGCATAGATTATCTATATTTCTGTCATAAACGGTACAGGTACATTTATTAGTTCTAATTTATTCTCAACACTACCATTTATAGTGGTATAATCTGTCACTATTCAACATTATTATAATATACTTAAAATTCCACATGGTAGGATCACCAACTGAAGTGCCTTATAGGGAACTGGCATAAGCCAAGTATCACTGGCTGCTTAATATCCTTTTTATTTTTTTAATTTTTTAAAAAGATTTTATTTATTTATTTGTGAGAGACACACACACACACAGAGAGAGAGAGAGAGAGAGAGAGAGAGAGAGAGAGAGAGGCAGAGACACAGGCAGAGGGAGAAGCAGGCTCCATGCAGGGAGCCCGATGTGGGCCTTGATCCTGGGACTCCAGGATCACGCCCTGGGCCGAAGGCAAGCGTTAAACCGCTGAGCCACCCAGGCGTCCCTTAATATCCTTTTTAAATCACTCTGAAAATATTACTGAAACATGCGCTGTAAGAACTATAAGCTATCTCTCAATCCAATATATTTCTAGTGATTATTTTTCCAAATCCTCTTGTTATTCAAAAAATGGTCGGATTTGGTTTTACTTTCCTATTCACTTTTTGCTAAAATGGATCCCTTTACTGCTTGCCAATGGTGAGGTTCATGAATGAGAGCTGGCTTTCCCTCAAGCAACTGGAATGAAAACTAACAGGTTATGGGAAATGGATTTATTGCTCTTTTATCATTTTTTATCCATTTCAAACTATGCTTTGAACCCAGTAAGTAGTTTATCAATGTAATTAAACAATCTCATAATAAATTCAAGATAAACTTAGACATAATAAAAGTATAAGAAAGAGGGGCACCTGAGTAGCTCAGTCAAATAAATGTCAGACTTTTGGTTTTGGCTCAGGTCATGATCACCTGATTAAGGGACTGAGCCCCACGTGGGGCTCTGTGCTCAGGGTGGAGTCTGCTTCAGATTCTTTCTCCCTCCCCCTCTGCTCCTCCACTCATTTGCCCGTGCATACTCTGTCTCAAAAATAAATAAAATCTTTAAAATTTTTTAAAGAAAGATATTTCAAAGCAAAAATCCTCATGGCAGGAAAATGAATTTCAATCTATAGGTAACTTAAGGAAGTATCTGAGGTGCTTGCTAAAAATGTCAATTCCTAGGCTCCATCCAGAGATTTTTATTCCAGAGATTTGGAAAATGGCCTTAGGAATTTGTGGTTTTAATAAGCCCCCGTGTGGTTTGAGTACAGGTGGGGTTGGGGACCATATATTGAAAATTGCTAATCCCAAAAAATCCACTTTAATGAGGTTGTAACTCAAATAAGGACAAGGTTTTGTGGGGTATTATTTTTAAAGAGTGGGAAGTTTAAGAAAACTTGCCCCAATCAAGGGGAAAAAAAAACTAGTTAAATGAGGCATAAGATTCAAAATTAACAAGAAGCAGATTAAAGCTCAAATATATATCCCCATAAAGAATCTGATAGAAACAAATTGAGTGGGAAGCCGAGATTATGTAACGAATGGTCTTGCAAGCCTGAATCTGCTCAGATGATGATCATGGTTAAACACAGGAAATGAAACCACTTGAACGCATTAAAGTGATATTCCTATCCTATAACGCTGATATAGAATTTCATTAAAATTTTTTAAAAAATTTATTTACAATTTGCCAGTATATAGAACACCCAGTGCCCATTCCATCACGTGCCCTCCTTAGTGCCCATCTCCCAGTTACCTCATGCCCTCACCCATCTCCTCTTCCGCAACCTTTGTTTCCCAGAGTTAGGAGTCTCTCATGGTTTCTCTCCCTTTTTCCCCACTCGGTTACCCTTGATATGGAATTTCAAATCACAAATTCATGATGGAAAACTATGAAACTGAAGAAAGTTCATTTTTATAAAAAATTCTAATTTTAGTATTATATGGCTGCCAAATCTTAAAAATTTTGAGAATGCTGCATTCACAGCATAAAATTACTATAAATTACTATATATACTATACAGATCATATACTCTATATTATGAAATCATTATATCATAAATATAGTATATTTATATCACAAAATACAGCAACTTAGATATTTAAACATCTGGGTCTCCACAAAAATAGCTAGAATTTTATTTTTTTCATAAGAACAAACTCTTCAGTTTCAGAATTTTCTATTTCTCGTCAACTTGTAACTTAAAAGCTTTATCAGGTTGACTGCCATTTTCTTGAAGATCTCATTCTAGGAACATACTATGTACCTATAGCAAGAAAAGAATGGAAACATCCTTTAATCATTGATATATACACATATATGTATGTGTGTGTGTGTGTGTATATATATATATTAATCGAACTATAGTTAACACTCAATGTTAGTTTCAGACATACAATATAGTGATTTGACAACTCCAGACATTTGACAACTCATAGACATGCTATGTTCACAAGTGCAGCTACCATCTGTCACTATTCACCTATTATAATACCATTGACTATGTCCCTTTTATGTGGTATCTTTCATCTCTGTAGCTTATTCATTCTATAACTGGAAGTCTTGTATCTCCCACTCCCCTTCACCCATCTCTGCCCACCCGTCTCCCCATCCCTGGCAGCCAGAGAGCTTGTTCTCTGTATTTGTGGATCTGTTTTTACTTTTTTTGTTTGTTTTTCAGATTCCACACACATGTGAAATCATATAATATTTGTCTTTCTCTGACTTATATACTTAGCATAGTACACTCTAGGTCCATCCATGCTATAGCAAACAGCAAGATCTCATTCTTTTTTATGGTTGAGTAATATTCCATTATGTATAATCACATATATATGAGTTATTTCCACATCTTGATTATTGCAAATAATGCTACAAAGAACACAGGGGAGCGTACATCTTTTTTAATTAGTATTTTGGTTTTCTTTGGGTAAATACCCAGTCGTGGAATTACTGGAAAATATGGTATTTCGATTTTTAATTTTTTGAGGGCTCTCCATACTGTTTTCCAAGTGAGTACACCAACTTACATTCCCACCAACAGTGCACAAGGGTTCCTTTTCTCCACATCCTCACCAACCCTTGTTTGTTGGTGAGGGAGGGTAGAAGCAGAGGGAGAAGGAGAGAGAGAATCTTAAGCAGCCTCCATGTCTAGTGCAGAGTCCAATACACGGCTCTATCTCACGACTCTGAGATTGTGACCTGAGCTGAAATCAAGAGTTGGACACTTAACAGACTGAGCCACCAGGCGCTCCTGTTGTCTTTTTGATATTAGCTTTTCTGACAGGGTTAAGGCAGTATCTCATTGTGGCTTTGATCTGCATTTCCCTGTTATTTATATTTAGGGAAAGGAGGTAATGGTACAATAATTCCATTGCATATGATAATAGTTCTCTGCCTTGATAGAATGTAAATTTTGCGGAAAGGGCATTTTGGTGCACAGGAAATGATAAGGAATACAGATAAAAATATCAAGTTCAATTAAACAATTCCAATTGTCCTTGTTTCCTCCTTTATCTGCAGGATTGTCACTTAGTTTTCTTTACGTTGCAGTCACAAATAGTGCCTGATCCGCATGATGAAAATATCCTTTAAATCTTATGTTCTGATTGTCCTCTTTCTTCTCTTAGAAAGGAAGTTAGGAGGGGTGCCTAGGTGGCTCAGTTGGTTAAGCATCCAACTCTTGGTTTGGCTCTGGTCATGATCTCAGGGTCATGAGATCAAGCTTGCAGAAGGTACAAGATAGGATAAATGGGAAGTTAAGGCGGGGGGAGAAAAAAGGATTCCATCAACAGCAGATAAGAAAATGGACATTTATGTAGCTCTTCTTCTGCCAATATTGTGACTTATCCTGAATATTTAATATATTTTCAAAGGGCTTTGCAATTATAAATCACCCAAGTAGGAAACGGAATTTCATTATTTAGATGAATATAGAGGACTTTATGCACACATTAGGATATATATTCAACACATCTGTTTTTAGTAACTCCACAGAAGAATTCTTAGAACATAGTCATCATCTTACACTTTTTATTAGGACTCTTGGAACAAAAAGGAGTGTTTTCACAACTGGAGCTGTCCCTAGTTTCAATTCCAATTTATTTCTATCAAATTTGATTATCAAATTTCTCTCAAAAATATGGTAAAGATGTTTAGTTGTATATATCATCAGCCTCTGTAAAGATCTAAAAGTTAAGATATTATCTTGTATCAAACCATTTCAAACAGCTCACTACTATACTTTTTATTAGTACTTGATGTGTTTCAATTATCTGAGCACATTCAAAGGCACTGGAAATACTTGCTTTTTTTGAACAGGAAGTTATTGAAAACTTCCATGGGCATGGTATTCTTATTAATGAACTGCTCTTAAATTCATTCTTCAGCTAAAATCAGTTGTTTGAAAAAATTTATCAATTTTCTTGACAAAAAATAAATTGCTTAAAAAAATTAACTAGTATTTATAAAGATTATTTATGTCTATGGTAAAAGAGCTATAGAAAAAGGTTAAAAAGAAAAAGAATTCCTTTCTCAACCCCTTAAACTGTGATGCCACTTCTGAAAGTATTTACTATCGACAGCTTTTGTGCTCTTCCAAAATTTATTTCATATATACATATGGAATATGTGTAGAATATATATGGAATACACACGCACACACATGCACATATATGTACATGCATAACTTCTTTGAAACAAAAAAGACTTGTCTCACTAATGAGAACTAAGACACATTCTACCTCATTCTATTAAGAGTTGCTTAGTATTTCAAAGTACGGTTATTCCATGATTGATTTAGTTAGTTCTTTATAAATGGATATTTTCATTGTTCCTAGTTTTCTGCTGTTGCAAATAGTATTAAAACAGACTTTATACATGTACATATTTGCACATTTTCTTCTCTTACACATATGCTGGATCAATTTGTATAAGTAAAATTAGGGGTTAAGGAATAAGCACATTTTAAATTTTAATAAATGCTGACAGAGTACTCTCTTCAGAGATTGTACCAATTTATACTTGTACCAGTTGTGTACATAGTTGCCAGTACAGTGCATTAGTAAACTTCTAAGTCTCTGTTAACCTAAATAAGTGAAAAATGATGTCATTTTTAATTTGCATTTAATTTTTAGTGAGATTTAGCAACTTGTCTCGTACTTACTAGCTACCTGTATTTCAGTTTTGTGGGTTGCTCTTGTAATTGTTAGGAAAGATGGATTTCTTAACTTGCATTAGGGACCAAGGAAAGAGGTTGTTCCCAATAGTAAACTTCAGTCTGATGTTATTCCATTTCTAAACCATTTAGTAACTATTATCTTTAGCGTAACTTTTATACTTTGTGACAGGCTTAATTTAACATTAATAATGAAGTCTGGAACTTTCAAATGGTTAATTTAATGGCTCCAATGCCAATTGGAGCATCACCTGATTAATCATCTTGCACACTGTGTGTGCAAGCAGGGGAATAAGTCAAATGTCACAGTCATTTTATTCCTGAGCTGTAATGATTAAAAATGGGTATTTAAGCTAAACCAACCTGTCAAAGATAAAACTTGATATCTTAATCTGGCTTTTAAAAAACTGTTTTTGGGATACCTGGGTGGCTCAGTGGTTGAGCATCTGCCTTTGACTCAGGGCATGATCCTGAGATCCTGGGGTTGAGTCCCACATCATGCTCCTTGCAGGGAGCCTGCTTCTCCCTCTGCCTGTGTCTCTGCCTCTCTCTCTCTGTTTCTCATGAATAAGTAAATAAAATCTTTAAAACAAACAAACAAACAAACAAACAAGCAATTTTCACATGAGCCATGTGGGTATGGGCCATGGATTCAGACCACCGTGCTCTCTGAAAATCTTCACATTATCATGTGAAATAATCCAAAAGAACTTACTTCGAATTTGTTTTTTTATTTCCTTAGCAGGGTCCAGCCAATTCTGAAAAGGAAATGACAGTTTGAATTTGAACCAGAGAAGAATAAGAATAACCTGATGATGATTGTGCACTGAGTGTATCTGAAAGGGAATGGTTGCTGGCAGCCCCTCAAGCTGGGTCCTTCTCCTACATCTGCTTGCCCATCCCCAGGCCCTGCACTAGTCTAATGAGAAAATGTGTATGTGTGCACAATTCATGCGTGACAAAACTCTTCCTTTTAAACACAACCTTCAAAGATTCAAGCCAGCACAGAAACGGGAGGAAAAAAAATAGTGGATTCTATGTTCATAGAAGTTATGAACAAATTAAAGATACATGATGTCCACCAATGCCCTTGCCATTCAGTCCCACAAAGTGATTTCTGTGATTATAAATTCTTAGGCACTTTGCTAACAAATGAACACCTGCTTGATATTTATTATTTTCCTCACCAGAAAACTCAGATGTTTAATAATGAAGTTAGACATTGTTCAGTGAATTGGGTAGGTATTAAGTATGATTCACTGCACAACATCAAAACAAATAACATCTTTGAGCAAAATTTCTGTGACTTAGTTCCTAGCATGGACACAGTGGAAACAGTTTCTTCTTTATTTTTCAGGTAGTCGTGGGAATTAGTGAGGCAAAGCCCCAAACAGACTGTATTACTCGGGTGTAAGAGTCTATAGAGATTATTACATTAAACATTAAATACCTGCTGAATACATTAGACAAGGGCAATACCCAGCAAATACCCATGTCATATTCTGATTCTCCAAGAATATGAAAGCAAACTAAGATGAATTAAGAATAGACAGCAGTCAGGGAACATATTTTCTATGTAACTATCAATGCATTTGATTTTCAAAATCATTTATTTGATTTTCAAATCCACTGAAATGTATCATCCAGGGAAAGAACCATATAAAATGCTTTCCTAGAACCATTAATAACTTACAGGTGAAAAGCTGACTTACTCTTTCCAGAATATTCAAGATTAAAGGAAGTTGTCAATAGCTTTCATAAAGAAATTAGGTCATTAACAGCATTTAGGGACTCAAAGGAGTAAATACAGGAGTGGAAGCAGAGAAAATTATTTACCTATTCAGTTTTCATTCCCTTTCTCACAGTAATGAGTAGTTCAAGACATACGCTTTGTATTGCTTTTAATCACTCACCTTCTGGTTTTCAGCATCTCGATACGTAAGCCCAAAATAGTCCTTTTCTAGTAAGTTCAGATGTTCACATACTTTATCAAACAGCACCTGGCCTCTGGAGCGTTTCTATGGGAAACAAAATAGAAAAACAAGTCAAAACATATAAAGTTCTCTCAATTGCCACAGATAAAAATGGGTAAAACTTAACATACTGCTTGCTGCAAGTGTTCAGTATGTGACGCCCAATGTGATCATTCTGCCATCTCCTCTGTAACTAGTGAAAAGGTTCAATAAAGTGGGCCCACACCTACAAAAGCCTGTCCCTACAACCAACAAACAAAACCAAAACTCACCTGTGCCACTGAGTAAGTACAGGCAACCTGCAGATGGTTTCTAAACAGAAGTATCTGGGGAAATGATGTGGGGCTTGGAAGTCTTAAATATCTTGTGAAATATACAAAGTGAAAGAACACAAAGGACCAACAAAAACCGTGTTTCAGAATGCCCTAACTTGGTCCCCACACAACCAGATTTGCAGTCTGGGAAGAATCAACCCTACTCCTCATCTTAGGCAAACTCCCCCTTAAGACTTTGTATTCCAACCCTTACTTAGAAATTCTAGCTATGGATTGCTTTCTAAAGACTGTTAACTTCGTTAGTTTATTTTTGTGTTTTTTTGTTATAAATTTCAGTTTTGATCACAGTGTTCAACTTTCTCTTAATTTCAAGAAATCCTTTCTATTCAACATAAAATATTCATTAAGTTTAAAGATTTTAGTTATTTATAAATATAAGATACAGACATATATGCTACATTTTTTTTTTTTACCATAATGCAGTCATCGGCAGAAAGTAAAAAGGTAGTCATCTGAGAAGAAAAAAATCTATTGGCTTAATTTACCATGATACCCAGTATCACATTTCCATGGAATCCTTCAAAGGTCTTTCAACCTGGCCTTGGGGATTGAGATGGATGACCTGGCAACAATTAAACTAAACCACGTTTTTTTGCATAGTACCGACATTTCATTCCTAATACATTAAGCATATTTGCCTTTAAGATTTGATGTAGTAACAATGAGAGGTGTAAAAACTGATAGACAGTACGCATGCCAAAATAATAAGTTTTCAGAAACCTGTAAATGCTATGTATTATTACACAACTGTAATTATATTGGAAGTTAGCTGCTCAGCTCCGTGAAGCATGACTGTTTAGGAAAAAAAGATAAATCTATGATAGAAAAGTAAAGCCTAAATTGTAGCCGGCTAAATAATCAATGATGTGTTTGAAAAAAGTTTAATAATGCATGAAAATAAATTACATATTGGCAAAACTACATAATAACATTGTTCAATGGATATGAATAAGTGGTAGGACAATAAAATGCTGCTCATTGGTTTAAATCTTTTATTTTTAAGTAACAGCTTATCAAGTCTGAATAATGTTTAACAGATTATAAAGTTTTCATTAAAAAATTGGTACTTCCAATGCTTCTACTGGTATTCAGTTTACAGATAAGAACCCAGAGGTTCAGTCCAGTGAGAGAGGCAATATTATGTAATGGAGGAGTAGTGGCTTTAGCAAATCAATCTGGGTTTGAATCTTCATTATGTTCTTTGCAGCTATGTGAACCTGTTTTTTCCTCTGTAAAATGGGTATATGATACCACCTTCTTCTTTGGGATGGTTGACAATAAAGTATTCAAACTTGGTCCAGTAATGGCACATATCAAGCTTTCCATAATCATTAGTGATCATAGCCCAAGTGACCAACAAGTAGAAGGATCTGTAATATAGCACTTGGTATGTATGCGTTTTTGTTGTCGGAGCACATTTATATTGTCTTGTGGAGCCAATAAGCAGTTCAGGATTAACGTATCCTGCTCTTTCTTTAGAAATTAATTACCTGCTTACTACCTAAGTGCTTTTAGCTAGACCACAATACTTACACACACCTACACCCCCCCACCCCCACATACACACACCCAAACACATACCAGTGTCTGGCCCAAGTACTTTCTCAATGAGTAAAAGTAAACAAAACAAAACAAATACAAATAAATAAACTCTTCTCTACAGAGCCTTATATATTCTCTGAACCAGCAGCCCCTCAATTGTGGAATTATTTCTGAATACGCAGCAGGCTGCCTTGGGCATTGTTTTAATTAGCTGTCTTCTGGCTGCTGTGTTCTTCCTTTTGTCTAACAGGTGGTATGGATTAGCTCAGGCACAGACCACTATACTAACTAGATCTTACTTTTCTGGCTTCTCACAATTTGATTTCTATTAATGATTCATGGCTCTCTCTTAAATAGATGAGGTATTTTTTTTACTGAATATTTTAAACATATTTTGAACACTACAAACAGATCTTCTTCACACTGAAGTTTGTTTTTTTCCCCCCTAAGAACCAAGATCAGTAGTCTAGGCTCTACTATAGATGGTCATATGTAAACAGTAGAATTCCTATCTGCTAAATATCACCACAGCTAGCTGGATGACACTGGAAAAGCCTTTTAAATGAATTTTCTCACCCTGGAGTGATGATATATGATTCTATGGAGCAAGGCTGTCATGGGCTTCAGGTTGGGTCCCCTGTGTCATGGCAAACATTACTAATGATTACAAGGCTCTTTCGCATGGAGCCTGGATTAGACTTCAGCACCCTTCTGCAACATGTGATAAGACAGCCAGCGGATAGAGTTGGATCTATCTTTCAGCCCTAGATAGGATCACTCCCAACTCTCCCAAATTCTGGATTCTTCTAACTCAGATTATTATTATCATTTTTTGCATACTGTCCAACTTTACAAGGTAGTGTATGTCTTTAGGTAATAACATCTAACATATTTGACTAAAATCAGACTGAAACTTTTAAAGAATTTAAATATTTGGTGGCTGAAGACATGATATTCATTAAATTATCAAATCTAGTTTCTTTACTTCATTGGGTGTGTTTATATATAGCCATAATGAGTCAAGAATTGAGTAAACAATGTTGACAGAGGTTTTTATAAATTAACAGATAATTTACCTAACCAGAGAAGATAATAGTTTTTAGTCTTGTCTGCTATTTTGTGTGAGTCAAGTTATGTCTCTGACTCAGGGTGGTTAACAGTTCATGATTATCATTCACTATTAACCCTTGAACATCCAGAAAAGTTGATTTTGCTGTCCTAGAGTAATATACTAATGATGGACTGCCTTCTTTCTGCTCTCTTTTCTTCACTAAAACATTAGGTTTCTGTTTCTGATAAAGTAAATGGGAATATAACAGCCCAACAAAGACTCTGAATATCTAAAGAAGGGTAAATCCCCAACAATATGAACAACTTTCCTTCTTAACTATTTTAATTTAAAAATGTTCCAAATTGACTCATGAAAGTGTTGAATGTTAGCAGAAGTGTGTCAAAAGAGAAAAACTTTAAGAGAATGGAGAGATAAGCCACAGAATGGGATAAAATATTTGCAGAGACATATTTGGTAAAGGACTGGCATCCAAACTACACAGAGAACTCTTAAATTCAATAAGAAAACAATCAAATTAACAACTGTGCAAAAGATCTGAGCAGATACTTCACCAAAGACATACAGATGTCGAAAAAGCATATGGAGAGATGTTCATCATATACTATTAGAGAACTGCAAATTAAAAGAAGACAACCACTACACATTGATTAGAATGGCTAAAATTCTAAACACAACACTAAATGATGGCAAAGATGTGAAACAACAGGAACTCTTATTCCCTGCTAGTAGAAATGGCTCTGCCATTTTGGAAGACAGTCTAGCAGTTTTTTTACAAAACTAAACACACTTTTAATATATGACCCAGCCATCATATTCCAAGATACTTACACAAATTTGATATATACCAAAACCTGTGTGTAAATACTTCTAGCAGCTTTATTCGACATTGCCAAAACTTAGAAACAACCAAAATGCCCCTCAGTGGGTGAATGGATAAATAATCTGTGTAACAACCCAAACAATGGAATGTTATTCGGAACTAAAAATAAATGAACTATCAAGCCATGAAACGACATGGAGAAACCTCAAATAACTATTACTAAGTGAAAGAAGCCACTCTGAAAAGGCTGTATGTATGATTCCAGCTATACGACATTTTGAAAAAGGCAAAACTATGAAGACAGTAAAAAGATCAGCGGTTGCCAGAGGTTAGGGAGGAGGGAGGAGTGAACAGATGGAGCATAAAGAATTGTTAAGGTAGTGAAACCACCCTGAATGGTTCTATAATGGCGGATACATGTCCTTATACATTTGTCCAAACCCATGGAAAGTACCACAGAGAGTGAACCCTGATGTACACTATGTCTCAATTTTTATTGAGCTTAAACATTTTAGAGAAATCAAAAACTTTATAGTTACAACACATACTAAAGGTAAAAGTAAAATCATTCTAGGAAAAGCTGCCATGCTTCTCATGCTATGTATACACACATAGGAATCCCAAGTCTGAAATGCCTGCATGCAAACCCAACATATCTAGTAACAAACAGAGGCTGGGTGTCAGATGGAAGTGACTGCTCAAGATCTACATCACACAATTAGGGAATCCAAACTATGAACAAGATAAGATGGATTAGCTAAGGATTCAAAGGCTTTGCTTTCTCTGGGCACTAAATTCAAGAGGATACATCCACCATCACCCCTCAAATACAGCAAATGGATAAGCCTTTCTGTAGCATCAGTGAAACTTCCCACAAGTCAAAGGTCATTCAATATCTTTAACAATACTGTTTGTAAAACGTTGGTTTTCAATGTACCAACCAGCATCATCTGGCTAGTCTGTAGTAAAATTTGTTATTTTTATTTGCCCATTAGAAGAATAATTTTAAAAAATTAATTTCAAGTGCTTTAGTATGGGGAATTTCAAATATATACATAAGTAAAGGGGACACTATAATGAGGCCTTGCAAACCTGTCACCCAGTGTCAAAAAATGTTTTTGGAGGACCACCACCTCGGGTCATCTAGAGTTCTATTCAATTCATTCTTCCCCTGATTATCCTGAAGTATTTCAGCAAATAATTACCCCTTTATGTCTTAATTTGTAACTCTACTCTTTTTAAAATGTAATCTCAGGGCACCTGGGTGGCTCAGCTA